AATTGTAGTGTTCGGGGAAGCATTCCCGTAGGAGTCTTTTCCATAGAATACCAGTACTAGGGAAGGTGATGATTGGAACTACTTTACCGATGGACTACGCTGCGAATTTGGCCGATTCAACCCAGGTGAGTCTTGAATGATGGTACAAATGGATGGAATTCATCTGAACATATTTGTGTAAAAAATAAAACGTAAAAATAAAACATAAAAATAAATAAATAAAAAATAAATAAATAAAAAAATAAATAATAAAAATAAATTTAAATTTAAATAAAAATAAGATTTAGTATATTAAAGGCTTGCGCCAGCGAAGGGTTTTCGATTGTGCCTTCATCACGATAGGTAAGGATTAGATGCGATAGGCAACAATAAACTACAGAAAAGCTCAAAACTGATCACTACATTTAAGTATTCCATTTAAAAGTTCAACGATAATTCTTCTGCCGCCACTTTATTTAAAGACAGTTTAATGTAAGTAGGTCCTTACTTTCGGTAGAAACAATTTTTATTTCATGGGTGACTTTCGCTGGATTTCGCAATTAATTTCGATTATTCCCAAAAATTCGTCGCAAAAAAAAATCACACAAGAATCAGTGAAAACAATCACAGTCATGAAAATTGGGGAATCCAGAATTTCAAGATTGGGGGTTCGGATCCAGACCGGAATGGTTTTAATTTACTCATGGAGTCGGCCTAGTTCCAAAATGGTATATGTTGGGCTACGGCCTCTAGGAGTAAAGTTGAAAACGCGTGACACACTGACATTCGTATTTATTATATAGATGTTTAATTATTTATTTGTTGAAATGTATTTTAAAGTGGCTTTGTAATGGAGAATGTATGATTTTGTGTCTACAAATAAAATATTGCACCAGTCTACTTGAATAAAGTATGAAATTATATATTTTAACTTGCTTCTTCGAAAGAAGCTAAATTAAATTTGCAAAAGCAGGAAAGAAATGGTGATCGTCTCTCATCCATCTGTATAAGCAGGGATTTTTTATTTATTTTATTTTATTTTTATTTTTTGTACATTAAAAAATTAACAAAATTGCGTCTTTTTTTTTCTCTCTTTCTCCCTAACAGGAGGCGGCATTCTGAAGATCATTGTAAACACCACACTGACAGTTGACGGCTACATCACGGCAAGTAGTAATGACCTGCTTCCTAGCATCAATAAAGGAGGGGCAAGTGGTGGCAGTGGAGGCAGCATTATCATCATCACTGGCAATTTAACAGGTTGGTCATGCAATTAACGCGGCTTCCGGTAAAGTATTTGCATGTCGTTTTTCTGTGCGAATTTCTCACACCTAATCCTCAACTTTAGATAATTTGCATCTGATAAGGTTTAATTTGCTATGAAGCTTTGTGTTCTACTTTGGTTTATGGTGTTTGACGTCATATCAACCACAATGGATTACTTAATGCCGAGAAAGCTATCAGAATAGATTTTTATGTATAGAATACGTATTCTTTGCAAGAAATCAGTTTGTAGATCAGGTTTCGTCGATGCATTTTTGTAAAGAGGAAATGCATTGCTTGTATCAGAGGCATCTCTCGATTAGTGTGCATTCGCTTAATGCATTTTAGATTAGTGCACTGTTTTTATTGACCAATATTCCATTAAAGCATACATAATACTCGATTATTGCGGTACAACATTTTTCATTTTAACCATAGTAATTGAAAATTGATGTTATATATATATATATATATATATATATATATATCGTTACCGATGTACACATGAGCCGCACTAATCGAGGGATTCCTTTATTTCTTTTGATGCTAGTGATATTTTTTATCTCAAAAATATATATATTTTTTTTTTTACCATAAAATGTATTTTTATGCTTTCATAGTGTTTTGACCCCAGTTTAGGTGTTCACCATTTGTCCATAGTTGGTTAAGGTACGACCTGAGAACAAAAGTTATTAAAAGGTGGTACCACGCGCCCCCAAACCTCCCGATCAGAGGGTTTGCTGCCGGGTGTAGTTTATCATCATACCCATGACATTTAATATTTTGAGAAGACTGAGGAAGAATGGTACATTTATTGCTACCGTGTCATAATTCAACATCTGGCAAATATATATGTGTGTGTGTGTGTGTATAAAGGAACTAAACGAATAAAAAGCGACAATCCCACATTGCCTTGATAAAGTCTCTCTGACGATGTAACCCTTCGTCTAAAAATAGTTTTCCTCAAGTCGTTTTTTTATTTATTTATTTCCTTTACACATACACTCTACCCATAATCTCACACACACACACATATATATATATAGAGAGAGAGAGAGAAGCGAGAGCAAGATCTAAAATGTCAGCCAATCTAATAGATCTAATTCCACAATCCTAACTGTTGCTCCATATGCGACCTCCTTTTGCAAATCACTAGCGGGTCGTACATGCCACTTAGATTTTCGGACAAAATCCATTACTGAACTGATTGGTTAATATTTCAGATCCTAAAATGGACTCTCCTGTCGATTTCGACTTATGAGGATTTGACAAATTAACGAAGTGATTAAGTTATGAATAATAAATATATATCAATATTATTTTTAGAGGCTACCTGTTTTTGTTGACGCTCATTTTTTTTGTAAACATTATTTATTGTGCCTGCCGGTCTGCATCTTACCTACTAAAACTTTGCTGGAGGGACCACCATTTTATTTAAATTGCTGACTACGCGAATATTGCATGCAAACGCATGAAACTTCCAATCGTGGTCGGCCACTATTCACTGGGAACTTATTTAGAAATATTAAGAATCTGTCATTTAATATGGCCTTGAGTTGTTTTTTTTTATTTGTTTTTGTTTTTTTGGGTTTTTTTCTCACCCATGTGCATATGTAGCATAGTTCCTTAGGATTTGCTTACTTTGTATTTTATTTAAATACATAACCTATGAACACAAATCGATATGTCCCAATCCCCATAAATACGTACGACACTATTGTAAGTGGGGATAATATACTGTCTGTGTAGTCAACCACTAGCAGTGGTTTACGTACTCCACGCCGCTGGCGAGTATTGTATTTTTGTTATAAAGATTAGTATATCATTTCCAACCTCCGTTTTAGTTATTCCTCATTCACTAACCTTTTTTTAGGTTACAACAATAAACTCACAACAGTAACGTCTGTTTTATAAGATCCTTAAGTAAAAGAACTTCTACTTCTTCGAAGGTAAGAGACTAGTTTCCTGGCATTTCTACCTCAAAGCTGCTATTCAACCCTTCTATTTCTGTTAGCAAACTAATTGTGCATCCGTTTTCTCGTTGATACCCTATGAGTATCCAATAGTCCGTTAGGTGACTCCTGCTGTTTGATCGAAGGTGGATATATAGCTTAACCTTATATTTGATTATAAATAGCGAAAGCAAATAAATATTTTACTGTCGAATTTCCTACCTCTTCTTATTGCTTTTCAGGAAGTCACACTGGTTCGATTCAAGCCTTAGGAGGAAGTGGAGACATTCACCGTGGTGGCGGAGGAGGATCTGGAGGCCGCATTGCTATCTACCACGATACACATAAGGCCCACCCCCCATACAGAGGAAGTTTCGATACTTGGGGTGGATATGCTCTTCAGGGTACTGAATCCGGGGCCTCAGGAACGGCGTACTTGCAAAACATCTACACTCGAAAGTCGATTCTAAGAGTAAACAATAATGGAAGAAAACAAATATCTGAAGACACCGACATTCCAAATGAGGGTTACCGCCTTGATTTGTTTAATCCAAATCTGAGAGGGAGAAGTAGTGTCTATTCTACGTCAGGCTTTGTTGTAAGTAACAGCGAACCACCTTCATTCACTTTGTATTCTATAAGTGAGATGTAAGTTCTACTCGAGCAGCTCTCTCTCACGAACAGCTATTTTGTGGAACCGACTCTAAAGAGAATGCTTCCTCGATCGTGACAATCCTAACCTGTTCAAGTCTAAGGTTAACCTTTATCTTCCTCCCATATCCGCATAAACTGTTCCTCTTACAATGTAGACTTACGGCTTAGTCGTGGAACCGACTCTAAAGAGAATGCTATACCGATCTCTTACATTCTTAAACTGTTCAGATCTATGGTTAACCTTTAACTTCAACACATATCCGTATAAACTGCGCCTCTTACTCTGTAATGATCTACCTCTAGTTAACAGGGTTAATATTAAAAGTAATTAAAAGAAGATATTTTTTAATTTATTTTTGGTGTCTAAAATCCATCCCAAATTTCTCTTCTGACTTCTATACTACATTGTCGTGAACATTATAGATCATACATTTTGTGCAGCCCGTTCATAGAGCAAATTCTTATATTTTTATACACTTATATTCTTTCAGAGCTCAAATTCAAGTAAAATCTGTTCTCGAAGAAGAGAATAATTTGAATAAAATAGTTGATTGCTGTATATACTCGTGTATCATGCGATATTTGAAAACCTATTTTTGAAGCTAAATTTAATCATCCTTCGACCTTACTATGGTTGGTCAGAAATGCATCGACAATCCCTTTCCACACTGTTCGGTCCTGCTTTGTAAATCTCCAATGTCTAAAACTGAGTCCCGAGTTGTGGTGTTTGGAAAGACTCAATTTTTGTGGCAATACACATCTGGAAGGATGCCATAAGAGTAAGGACGAAACGCTTTCTTTGTTCGCGAGTTTGAGAGATTGGTCTTAGTTCTCCGTGAATTGGGTTAAGCGTTGCATCGGATCTCCAACTGAGGCTCTGGATTTTTATAAGCAGATTTGTATATCTTCCATCCAGTCGTCTTTCAAGACGCGCAGATAATGTCCAAATTTCTACTCTATACACCAGGACTGGTTCAATCGATTTGTTGCACGCGTTCCATGCAAGATGTTTACGGATGTTAGTCTTTCTTATTATTTTATTTTATATTATTATTTTTATTATTATTTTTGAAGGGCATATTATTGAGCGACTTCAACTAGGATGGTTCAGAGGAGGTTGTGATATATTGTCTTACGCCCGTTGCAATACAGACCTACTTGGTTCGTTGCTTGTCAAGTGATTGCAGCAAGGATTCTTCATCTTTGATACACTGAGAAATTGATGCAAGGTCATCAGCAAAGTCAAGGTCATTCAGTTATTGTGGAGGGTACCAGCTGCACTGGCAAAGTTTCAAAAGGGGTCCTCTTTCCTCCATGTTGTCGATAGACTTTTAAGGTGATCGCATCATACACGAGATATAAAATTAGCATATGTACTGTTGGCACTGGCTACGCAGTTGACCAAACTATATATCCATTTACTGTAGTCAAATTACTTTCAAAATTAGGGTTTGAAAGGTCGCATGAAACGTGATTATATTCTGTAAATGAAATTAATAACCACACCTACAGTTTGATAATTACGTCAGAGAATCATTTTTAAGAACTCATCCAAATAATTAAAACTTAGTACAAAAGTAAAACTTTATTACACATTTACGCTTATTTAAAATATTTAAATAGTTCAAAAGAACAACCTACCCTTTTGTAAATAATATCGACTATCGCCATAAAACAAGTTAGCCCTTGAGCTGAATTTGTTGATCGAGCTACGAGAGTATTCATTCAAGAAATAGAACGCTCATGGACGGATTGACATTTTCGGCAGAATAAAGAGCGAGTCGATTGAAATTCTACAATCTCACCATGAGCATTTTTGCTTGAAAATGCTAAGAAGAAAATGGAAAACTAATTTCTTTGCCTTTTACACGATGTACACACTATTTACAAGTCTTAATATTTTATCTGCATTTGACTGATTAAATTTTTAATAGGTGTAACTATATAGCAAATAACTTGGTACAGCGTATGCTATAACAACGAAAATATTTTGCCACAAAAAAAGGTAAATGTAATGCATTTTTTTCTGTAATGATGATGCCAACTTTTAATCAAAAAAAAAAAATTCAGACAAAAATTAAACCGTTTTTCACAGTCAAATCATAATGGTTGTTCGTGATATCATTTGACTGTTTTTAATGGAACAGATTTTGCTTTTTTTTACCAAATCCGTGATATATATAAATTTATCGTATCAGATTTGAAACCAGTTTAATCTCTGATAAAAAAAAAATTGTCTTCTACTCTCGCTTGACAGATTTCTCATAATCGCAAGATTTTTAGATATTGTCCCCAACATACAATCTGTGCAAGGCCAATGAATATATCGACCGAAAATTTGAAATAAAATGTACTAAAATCAAGAATTCGTGGAATAGCATATGTAAGCATATAGGTCAAGAGACTCCAAACATTTTCGACTCTCGATCCATCAATGATATTTTCTTAATGTTAAAAATGCTTTTTTCTTCATTGTTTCTCGAAAATATTCTTTTTAGATATTGCTTTTTAAATTTCTCTTTCTGTACTAGACTTGTTTGCGTTTTCATTATAACAACGAGAATAATATAGCCAATCATACATTTAAATACACTGAGATATATTTATTGAGTGACTTGTTTTTTAATGAGTTGATTCATACCATAAATTATTGATTCGTTTTTACGGCTTACCAAACCTTCGAATGTAAGAATTCATTTTTTTCGATAATAATAATTTAGTGTTTGTTGTAGCATTTCTACGAACGATAATGGGTATTTCCCCATACACATAAATACAATAGTAAATACTGTATGTTGGTCTTCAGTTAGATTCATTGTGGAATTCACTGAACTCACTTCTAGCAGTTGACCACTTCGACGCGACGCTGGTGAATCTTTTATGTGTTGTTCTTGTCCTAAGTATTATCGTTCATTACCCACCTTCGTGTGATTATTCAATTCAGTAACTTTCCTGAAGAGTAAGCGTTCTCAAAGCAAATTTGTGGCTTTCACAACACAAAGAAAGAAAATAACTTGTAACACGTCAGGAAAATAACTCACGAACGCCGTAGCCAAAACTGCCCGAATTTTCCTTCCCCGAGTCGACAACACCAACTGCTTTTATCGGCAGAACCTATTTTTTCCATTCGTCGACAGCCGGGATAGGATGTTCCGTAATTTGCATATTAATACACTCTTATAGCGACTCCTGCGACGAACTTGTTTCTTTTTACTTGGGTTGACGAGGTAAGTCGCTATAAGAGTTTTGCTGACTACTTTTTGGCAATCCCTCCCCGGCAGATCGCACACAAAACACGAACTTTTTCCGGGGTACTTGATTATCTCGTTCACTACACTCCCCTCTGTCACATAAGTGACACTCATGGGCGGGCCTCTTTATTCTTAAGCTTCTCCGGAGCGGGGCAACTGTGGGAGGAGATTGTGTGTTATATTCTGAGGTTTCTTCTGATCTGACAACCTCATGCGCAGAGTCTTCATCATCTGAAGAATGTTCTGAAGATTCTTCTTCTGAGGATTCTTCTGGTCTGACAACCTCACGCACAGAGTCTTCACCATCTGAAGGGGTGCTAGCCCTACCTCCGATGGTAATTATTTGTTCACTTTCTGAGCACTCACTGCTAGTGTCACTTGTTGACGTATCTGTACCTACATAGTGACGCAAATCCTTTATGTGTCTTGGTATGCCATCAACCAGCACGGAACGCGAGTTACTTAGTCCAGTGACATGCCCCACCCGGTACCGGGTTGTACACCGGCTATGTGGAGATTTCACCCACACGCGATCGCCCAAGTCATACGGCGCTCGTTCGTTTATCCGTTCAGTTGAACGCGTTGCGTCAATGCCTCGTAGCCGGACTTTATACTGATAAATCATGTTGGCTGGCGCAGTTGAGGGCGATACATTATTGTCTCTCGGGTAACATTGTACCAATACACCGCCTCCATTATGGAACACTGCTTCCTAGCAGCGATTCTTTTGATGCTCCGATGACATTGCTCGACTATGCCATTCCCTGATGGGACATACGCGCAGCGAAATCTGAGGTGTACTCCCCACGAAGCCACAAAATCTTTGAATAGTTCACTGCGGAATGCAGTGTCGTTGTCAGTGAGGAGTTCTGTCGGAGGTCCACGTTCAAAGAACAATGACCCCAAGTGGTCAATGACGCTTGCGGAATCCTGTCGACGCAGACGCCGCCAAATAGTGAACCGGGTTGGGCCACAATCAATCAGGGTTAAATAGTGATGTCCGTTATAATGGGTGATGTCCATTCCAACACGGTGCCACACCTTGCTTACACTCACGTGTCCTGTTTGCCATTGCACAGGTGCTGGGTCGATGGACTGACACTCCTTTTGCAAGGGAGCTCGCGTCGACCCAGACGTTAAATTCACATCCGTCAACGCACCATTTACCACGTACGGGGTCGTCTTGACGCACCCTAGTAATGACTTCCCCTATCATGTGTCTAAGAGGAGCATCATTGGTTGTGTCATCCCAACCGGAAGTGACAGCAGTCACCCTACGTTTAATAAACGCAGTTGCAATGCGGATTCACCCGCCCACGGGAAAATGTCCCACCAGCTTTCCACATAACGAAAACACGCTGCGTCGGGTCATGTGTTTGGGAATGTCCGGGAGCTCGCTTCCACGTTTCCAGTAAAGCATGTTGTGCTCCCCCCAGACCTGCAAGCCGAGCACCCGAGCACCATCCTCCAGTCTTTCTGGGTTTTACATTCGAGCCCAAAGTCAGCAAGATGCTTTCTCACCTGTGAAGCGGGTACTAAGGTTTCGTTGATGTAGATGTCGTCAATGTAGGCTGACGTCGCTTGACGAATTGTCTCATCCTGGGATAGCACAGCATCCACGATGGCTTTCATGATGGCCGGCGCCACATTGAGTCCGAATCCCATTCGGGTTAAGCAGTACCTCGTCCCATTAAGAATCACCGTCTGAAATGGCCACAGTGACCGGTGCACGCGTACCTGCAAGTAGGCCTTTCGAAGGTCAATCACAGAGACATTGGATCCCTTCGTTCGCCATTCTCTCAATTTTGTGCACACACATCAGCATGAGCTGTGTATGTGTCTACATGTTCGTTCAGTTCTCTATAATCTAGTACAGGGCGCACCTTTCCCTTGTTCTTTTGTACCACGGCCATCAACGGGATGAGGCCTCTTGGAGGACCAAGCTCTTCCTCGGGATATGGATTCAGCCATCCGTTATCCAGCCACACCTGCAATTCGCGCTGGTATTCTTCCTTGACGCGTTCGGGCACCGAATATTCTGACACTCGGTTCTGGAGCTTTTCTGGTGGGTTATTTTCCGACCATTTCCAAAATGCTGTCCATGTCTTCGTCCTTTGGTCGAACTCTGCGCTAAAGTCGGGCTCGTTGATCTTCAAAGTAGCACAGATGGGCGGATCAGAAAACTTGACTTCGCCTGCCTCTGTAATGCGTACGCCGCCCAGCTCCTTAATAATGTCCATCCCAAGGAGCAGATCGAAACCTAATAACGCGCTGTCCACGACCAACACACTGACTGTGACAGGGTCACCGTTGTTAATACTAAGTTTGATGTTTCCAACTCCCCGGCTTCTGAGAGCCTTTCCATCAGCCGTTAGTACGTCCATCTTTTGTCTGCTCCACTGTCGGCAAATCGAACCGTTGGTGAGTGACCGAGAGCAGCCCGAATCTATTAAAGCGGTACGCGTTATTCCATTGATGCGTACCTTAATCACAGGGAGCGCCACTTTCATGCTCGGTGCGGGGAAGAGACCGGCGCTGACGTCGCGTCCCCCATTCCATTTCCCGGGCACTTAGAGGCAATATGACCTACTTTCTGACATTGAAAGCATCGTAGATCGAGACGTGCCTTTCGCGCCGACCCGCTGCGCATTTCTTCGCGTTGATAGCGGCAGTCTCTGGCAAAATGATTCGGCCCAGAGCACCGATAGCAGGTGGCAACGCCATGGTGACGAATGACTGGGGTCGGACCTTCTTTGACTTCAATTGGTTGAATAACTGCGGCCACTGGTTCATCAGCCTCTTTTTCGTCGATCATGACAGCACGGGTCAACAATTGATTGAGCGTCAGGTCTTCCATTCTGGATGATGCGCAGAGTATCTGCTTAACATGACTGGGCAATCCAGAAACGAAGGCACATATCATCCATTCTTCAGGAAGCGGTGCGATTGGAACGGCGAGCTTCTTTAATTCTGCCAAATATACGTCTACTGTCTCGCCAGGTCGCTGACGCCGTGCCTGGAATTGGTCGTAGGCCACGAACCGGTCAGTTCCAAACGCGGTTAGTAGAGCGTGCTTTATTTGCTCAATGTCGCTTTTCTGTTCTTTACTCAGCTGCCTATACACAGCAAGGGCACCGCCATTCAATCGCAGAGGAAGAATCCGATCAATCTTCGATATCTCGCATAATTCGCAGACCAGTTCCACCTTTTCGATCCATTCAACAACAGACTGTCCACTAGTATCACCACTGAATTCGGGGATCAGTTTTATATCGAACGGTCTTTCCGCCATCTTGCGAGAGACAAAGTAAAGGCCGAAATAGCTTGAAGAGTAAGCGTTCTCAAAGCAAATTTGTGGCTTTCACAACACAAAGAAAGAAAATAACTTGTAACACGTCAGGAAAATAACTCACGAACGCCGTAGCCAAAACTGCCCGAATTTTCCTTCCCAGTCGACAACACCAACTGCTTTTATCGGCAGAACCTATTTTTTTCCATTCGTCGACAGCCGGGATAGGATGTTCCGTAATTTGCATATTAATACACTCTTATAGCGACTCCTGCGACGGACTTGTTTTTTTTTTCGCTTGGGTTGACGAGGTAAGTCGCTATAAGAGTTTTGCTGACTACTTTTTGGCAATCCCTCCCCGGCAGATCGCACACAAAACACGAACTTTTTTCCGGGGTACTTGATTATCTCGTTCACTACATTTCCCTAGGTTACAACAGTGTTACAAGTTTATCCCATAGCTGGGGGTAAACGTTTCCGAAGGGTATTTGCGCGTAAGTGAATATAACGAACCAGACTGGAATTGGAACTCAGATCACCGATTAACAATTCTGAAGCATTATCGATTACACCACCCACATACCCAAGATTACAGCACCTTGCATTCCCAAGCAGTCAGCCATCTAGATACTGATTAGGTTTGACGTGATCACAAATAAGGATGGGTTTCAGCAGTAACAAGAGCATATTGGGTCGGAAATTAATGAGTTTTATTTGTAAGTCGCCACTATTCATATGTGACCCCCTTTTTGACGCCCAGGCATCTGTGGATCGCTTGATATGACTAGTTCAGTGACTGTAACTTTTATTTAAAAAATTATATTATCTAACAAATATTTTTCGCTTAATTTCTTAGTTTCACTGTGTATCCTTGGCATAATTGGAAAGTATTCAGAACTTCTACTGGGAGCAAACCGCCTGCATTCGGATAGACACGGAAATCAATAAATATACAAAAATAGGGGTTAAAACAAGGATGCTTCTTCTTGCCGGACCTATACAGTGAGTCAATTCTAGAAAATTAGTAATGCTACCAGCTTTCAATGTTCGTGGCCATATTCTTAACAACACAAGAAGATGATACAGTGTTGAGAGCAGACAACGAAAGGAAATTAAAATCTGCTACAGTAGGTTGTGGAGGAAAGCAACAAGAAGAATAACATTAATTGCAAGAAGACTCCATGCATCGTTGACAGCAAACGGAAGAGCCCCACATGCAAAATACAATTTGGAGATACCAAAATCAAACAAAAACAACAATTTAAATATCTGGGAAATGTTTAAACACAGGACGAAGTGCCTCAAAAATCCGAAGGCACATTGGTATAGCGAAAGATGCCTTCCAAAACTTAAGTAAAATATTAAGAAACCAAAAAGAGACAAAAAAAGAGAACTAAACTGTTATAATATCGATCCGCCTATATGACAGCGAACCCCAAAGAGTTTTCCCAAAGATCAAGAAAATAACTTGAGGCAGCAGAAATGTTTCTACAGAAGGATGCTGAGAATAACATGGACAGAGTATGTGAACAACGACGAAGTTTAAGAGAAAATGGAATCCAAAAGGAAACCTATACTTAAAATCCGGAAGAGACAGTTGAAATTTCTTGGCCACGTAATGAGGAAAGAGGGTTTGGAAAATCTGATACTCAAGGGACAGGTTGCAAGCAAAGAGGGACAGAGAAAACCAAAGCATAACCTATAGAATTGATGGCAAAAAGACAATTTATTAAGAACTACACTGGACAGGAAGTAGTGGAGAGCCATGATCTCCAACGTCATGAAAGGGTTCTTAACACATAGGAGAATCTCTGTCTATTCACTTAATTCGGTAGGGAATATCAACGACATACATCTGAAATTGTATAATTAAAATTGCTGATCTCAATTCAGAATAATGCCATTTATTCACTCATTTCTTTTTTCAGTTTTGGCTAATGTTCATATTTATTACTAGCAGTAGAGCCCGGCGTTGCCCGGGGATGTAACAGTAAGAGATAGATCAAGTATCGACCATCATAAAGACTGAAAAAATAAAATTGACAAAGATTATTGTTTAAGGTTGACGGACACGCATGTCTTAATTAGTTTTTTTTTTTTTTTTTTTTTACGAATTGGTCAAACCCAAACTCAAACAAAAACATTGTTTTCAATCGTTATGAGTCTACCGATTGAATAGAATTTTATTATAAACAATTGTCTTGTAAATGAGATTTTTAAAGCATTCTGAATGTAAAAATAAAGAAAAAAGTGTGCAAGACAATAAGAAACACTACCTGCTAAAAAAAAATGAAGTTTTGTTGAAATCGGTTGAAAAATGTATGAAATCCGATCCCATATATAAACGAACACACACGCAAACACACAAACAACCTGGGCTTTATAATAAGTATAACTCGATATGAGTTGACCCCCTTTCATTCACGACAGCGATGCCTCTTAATCGTGTTTTCAAATTGATTTCGTGCAAAAACAATTTTTTTTTCCAATCTTTGGTGCTGTCAGAACCACCGCAAGGTAATTTTACGTAGTCCTGTGAAGTTTTGTTGAAATCGGTTGAAAAATGTAGGAAATCCGATCCAATATATAAACGAACAGACACACACACACACAATCTGCGTTTTATAATAAGTATGATTACTTTTTATTTTACCAGGTGAGGTCCACCACACCGATTTACGACGGAAATTCTAGGTATTACAGCCCAGCATCGTTTGGCATTGCTAATTTATTTGACCAGACATTCCGAACAAACACCGAACATTTTTTCTTGGCCAACGGATACACAACGACACTAACCATTACACTGAACGCGACTTATTGGGTCAACAATCTCCGTATTTATTTGATGCCATCTTACCCAACAAAATTCAAGGTAAGATAATGGCTGATTTTCTTTTTCTTATAAAGCACAACCACAGAGTAACATTATTGATTGAGAATAACACACAACTTGAGGCTAGTGTACAAATATACGAAACCCAATCAGCCTATGACACCCACTCTGATGAGGGTTTTTGGAAATAGGCATCACAGCCAAATGCGCGCCATATGATGAGTGCTTTAGGAAAAAACAACAGCCAATGTGAATTGAAAATTTTCCCAAATATCGCTACCTCCCCGATCACACTTTCTGTATGTCCTCCTCCCCGATCACCCTTTCTGTATGTCCTCCTCCTCCTCCTCCCCGATAACCCTTTCTGTATGTCCTCCTCCTCCTCCTCCCCGATAACCCTTTCTGTATGTTCTCCTCCTCCTCCTCCCCCTTTCACCCCTTTCTGTATGTCCTCCTCCTCCTCCCCCCTGATCACCCTTTCTGTATGTCCTCCTCCTCCTCCCCGATCACCCTTTTCTGTATGTCCTCCTCCTCCTCCCCATCACCCTTTCTGTATGTCCTCCTCCTCCTCCCCGATCACCCTTTCTGTATGTCCTCCTCCTCCTCCCCGATCACCCTTTCTGTATGTCCTCCTCCTCCCCGATCACCCTTTCTGTATGTCCTCCTCCTCCTCCTCGATCACTTTCAGTTTCAGCACTATTAACTGTTATGCCACGCGAAAATCCGATTTCGGAGTGATCTCACATTCTGCCTCTTGGGGTTGAAGAAACCGCTTCGTTTATTTATCCAAAGGACTTTTTAACATCACCGCTCAGTCTAGCAGTGGACAGGTGAGAACAACTAACTTTAGAAAGTCTGCTGAGTGGAGACCACATGAATGCTATGAAAAATACTGCTTTTACTTTGACGATATTTCCTTGATATTCACTCGATTAAGACAAAATGGCTGAGTTTTTAAGTGGAACTTCACTTCGTGCATAAAATTGCTAGCAAAATAAAGGCTGAGTCTCTCTTGGTACTTCTATTTGGAGGTAACTCAAACATCAGGGACTGTTCTTGGCCCTTATCTAACCTATGTGCTGTCTACGGGATGCCCCCCTCGGGGCTATTATGCCTAAATTTTCACCCGGGAGAGGAAAGGTGAGAAAGATAGAAAAATATGGTAACAGCAACTGTAAATTGGGTTTCTGTATGTGACCACTTTTCGGTGAAAAGGTTTTGTTCGGATTTCAATGTTTTTCTGTGTTTTTCCTTCCATAAATGGTATTGGAAATATTAACCGTTTCCTTATGAGGAAACATTCGACATTCATTGACCGATCAGTCAGGGTTACTTTGGTTTCTCTAATCTTGCAGTTTTCGTTCCTTCCAATCTTAATGGGGGCAAACTATTTGTTTAAATCAGTGTGGAATTTTGTCATTATTTTCACTTTGGGTTATATAGGCTATCCATTTTCGTTGTTACGATTGTTGGAATTCCTCAAAAATGGTTTCTTTGTCATAGTTCATTGTGACTTTTGATTCGCTTGTAACCGTTTTTAACCATTGATCTGAGAAAGCGGTTCTATACAACAGACGGATTATAATTTTTGAACGAGTTTGGCATAGTCCATATAAAAAATGGTCACTAGTAGATTGGTATTTCTTGCTAAATAAACTAGTAATACTTAAAATTTTGGGGGTAGCAGCAATATAGATAAACAAGATGCTTGGATAGCGGAACTTTATCTGCTGGAAATGAAATCGGTAAATTCCAGCCTAGTCTGTTGCGTTTAATTTCGCAAGGAACACATGAATCCATATATTTTCCCTTCAACTATGGCTCAAAAAGAGGAGATGGATAGGTTAGATAGGTAGACGGAATTCAGGATTCTTGAGCGCCAGTCAATCTAGTAAGGCTACTTTGCATTCAAAACTGTGGAGAAGATAACGGGGAAACTACTCCCGTCTTCTTTAAAAAGTTATGGTAATTAACTGACAAGAAAAGATGCCGAACGCTTTGTTGGACCAAGTCTTGAATAGACATTAACAGAAAAACAAGACGTGAAGAGTCATGATAACCTGCCCCTTGAAGGGATATGGTATTAGAAAATTATAAAAAATGGAATGATTTTAGCGAAATTTATTTAATGTTAAGTTTTAAGACATTTTTATGTTTATATATTCTTTGTATAGATACAAATATTTAAGTAAATGCTCTGTTTATAATAAACAGTATTAACATTTACCAGCCTGAATTTCCGAGAAATTTTCATAGAAATTATTCGACCTCCGACTGGAATCGAACCCGTATCCTATACGGACCGTCATATAGGATACGGGTCCGATTCCTGTCGGAGGACGAATATTTTCTATGAAAATTTCTCGGAAATTCATGCCGGTAAATGTTGTTAATACTGTTTATTATAAACAGAGTATTCACTTAAATAATTTTATCTATACAAAGAATATATAAACATAAAAATGTCTTAAAATAATTGTCGGACTTTTTCGTCAGAATCGTAGTCAGAATTTTTTTAAGCATTTCACCTCAAATGGGAGTGCCACTGGTTCGAAGGGGGTTACATAGAATGAAAGTGAGAAAAGCTGTGTATAAGGGAAATGAGGAAAGGATAAAAGTTGAACAGGGTTCAAGACATAAGAATATGGCGATTTAAAGATTGCTGTTATCGGGTAAGCAAGTAAATTGAAGGGAATTCAACAGGCGGGAAGTGCGAGAAAGGAAGCTATTGGAGTAGAAGTGGCGGTTACATTTAACTATTTCAACTAGTCCAGTAGCACGTTTATTTGTAGAAAAGACATAGGGAAGCCACATCACATCTGTTAGAAAGTGACTGAAGTCTAGATGCCAAGTCAGGATCGATTACATTGCAGATCCCTCTTTGAATTTTGTCGAGAACCTCAAGAGGAACAGCTAAGGCACCAGACCAGATATGGCTACAGTACTCGATGCACAGGTGAATGGTAGATTTGTAAATAAGTAGGGTGGACTCTGATGAGAAAAACCTTCTGGTACGACACAGTGAACCAATTTTCCTTGCAACAGATGCATCTATTGTTTCAATGTATTTGTTCTACTTCAAGTCATTCGAAAGCGTAAGGAGTAAAAAGCCCAGAGACACTTTCCTAGAGCTTAACATCAACAATGCTAATGTCAGGTAGGGAATTATCTCTGTGGTGGCTAATTGATAGCAGTTTCGTTTTGGAGCCATTAAAATGTACGAGCCATTTCCTACGCCAGTTAACCACTGACTGAAATTCATTCGCGACAGCAGCGGTCAGTTCTTTTTACGTCAAAATCATTGTCAGATAAATTATTTATTCTTTTATAACAAACAGAACGGTATTCCAAGTTCAAACAGCTACACAGTTTTACTGACATAAAACATCTTTATCCTGACACACTATCGTTTTTGCACTACAACAAACCAGAAACAAGGCGTTGCCATAAATTAAACTGCAGAATTGTATGTGCATCAGAGGCAAGACATATGCCAAAATACGTACATCTGCGTCTTGTGGCAATAAACGCTTTAAGAAAGTCAATTATCACTAAGAACTTACTACAGAGCCAACAGTTCAGATCGATTGTGCTTCTCATTTTATTTTAAACGCAGATTTAATATTTTTAATTTTTATGTAATGTTTTAATGTGATTTTCAGGTCAGCGCCATGCATGCCGGGAAATCTTTTGCTGTTACCAGTAACTACGTACTTCCGAGTTCGAAAATAACAGTTGGTGCCTATTTAGAACTTCCCATCAAAACGCTTGTCGATTCTTTCACAATAAATTTGATTACGTCGAGTTCTTCTTCTTATGCAGCGCTTTCGGAAATAGAAATATTCATCGGTGGGAAGAATGTACAAACGAGGTAAGTCATTTCGTGTATTTGCTTTTTTATATATATATATATATAATATATATATATATATATATATAATTTGTCTCTATACGACTGATGTTACGAAACAGATGAGTTCCCTTATTGTGTCTAATGAAAGCCATTTTTTTAATACTTTTATTCGTTGGAAGACATGTTTTTCTTTCCCAATGCACCTTTGGATTTAAGTATCGCACTTTCCGTCGTATGTTAAAACATTTCCCAGATATTTAAATTGTTGCGCTTCTTTGATTTTTTAGTATCTCCAATTTGTAATCTGCATGTGGGGCACTTTTCCGTTTTCTGTCTTCTTGCAATTGATGTTTAGTCCCTTCTCGCTTTCCTTCACTATCTTCTGTAGGAGCTATTTAAGTCTCATTTCTATATCTACTATTAACAATGTGTATTCTGCTTATCTTATTTTGTTAAGATTGTGGCCGCTGATAATGAATTCTAGTAATAATTTTAATTTTCTCAGAATCGACTCTCTGTAAAGATTGAATAAGTACGCTGAGAAGACACATCACTGATATTCACCCTTTTCTAATTTTCTACATTTACTGAACTCATTTCATATCCGTATCCAGGCAGTTTGCTGTCTTCCAATATCCTTCCAAATATGTCAAGGTCACCTAGAAATTCCAACAGTTCTTTGTGACGTACTTTATCAAACGCTTTTGCATAATTTATAAAACACTGGTACATGTCATTCGTCATTTGTACTGAGAGCATTAATTAGTACTTTACAAATTGGTATCCTATTTATATGATGAAAAAATATCTTTGACATTTTTCAATCAATTTTTTTACCCTCCATTAGTAGCATCAAATTGTTTAACCAAAATATTTTCCCTTAATATCTAGCAAATGGCAACCGAACTTCCAATATTAGTCATGTTATATGGAATGTGTTATACCGTACCTATGGATTATGTGTATGTCCCCGTATTTGTAAATACAGTGGAATATATTGTATTTTGATTCACTGTGGTTTTCCACAGTATGCTTGTCAAACTCTCTGCCTCTGTGTAGAGAGGAACCTAGACGAGGGTATGCCAAAGGGCAGTCTCGTCTGGGGTGGTAGACAGCTACCCGACCCCGTTTGTACGGCGCTTACGGGGAATTTCCTGCCTTAAGGTAGAGAGCAAACCAAACGAGGTTTTGTCGAAGGGCAGTCTCTCGTCTGGAGATTGTAGACAGATACCCTACCCCGTGCATATGGGGTCTTCTGTGAATTTTTGCCAGAACCTTGTGGAATTTCCGGCTTTTTGCTTTGCAGTAAAGTTTAATCTTCAAAAATATAAATGCAGGGTCAATCGTTATCTACTGAATTCCTGATAAATTTTCTATTTTTCTTCCTCTTCAATAATGCCGTTGTTTTCTAATTCTTTTCACAGACACTGACACTTTCTCTCTTAGTGTGTTTACTGGTTTGTATAGGTCTAATTTGATTGGAAAAAATGTAACTATATTCCAGTTTGCGTACAGTTGTTCTTTCTGTTGGAAATAAATTACGAAGGCAAATTTCTAAGGTAAGTAACGAAATAGGTTTGCTACACGAAGGTACACTTAGCAATTGACCTAATACTAACTCTCCTCAACTTCACTTATTTATATAATCCGACAATTCCATTAATTTCTGTCTGATATGACACCATGAGACCCATATATAACACACACACACACACACACATATATATATATATATATATATATATATATATATATATATATTTTTTTTTTTTTTTTTAAATATCCGGACCTAGGCTGCCTTTCGGCAAACGCATCATCAGGGATTAATCGTTGGCAACTTTTAACTCATTTGGATTGAAAACAAAATGAACATAAAATTATGTTTATTTAAATCAATATTACTGTTCTGTGGTATCAGGTCTTTATTTATATATATATATATATATATATATATATATGAGAGAGAGACACATTTGTTTTTAATCGGTATCACTCAAAGCAAGACAGTACAGCAACTAGCACACAAGGGGTTACTGGGTGGGGAGGAATTAGGAACATAAATATTAGTAATGAGGAGAAAGAAAAGAGTAATCAGGGAAATAGATAGCGATTGGCATTGTATTTACATTTTTATAGATTAAACTTGGTTGGAAAGTAAGAGACCAGAGTGAGGTTTCCACAAGCGAGAGGTGCCAGACAAGAAACTGTTAGCCTAGAAGTTATGGATCTAACTAGCTCAACTGCAAATTGATGTGATCTTTCCGCCTGATAAGTATTGTGCTTAAAGTCATGCAACCTAGGTACCATAGCGAAGAGCTCAACTGAACAATTACCATGAAAGAATTTATTTAAAAGAAAAAAAAATGGTACAGAGAGGCAACCTTACGGAGATGGGCAAATGACTTAAGCCGAGCCGCCAAATCAGGACCAATAATAATGCTGATTCTTCTTTGGATTTTATCAAGGAGCTCCAGGTAAATAGCATATGTACCATATATATGAGTAATATTCTAAGCATGAACGAATAGATATGCAAGATAGATTCATTGTCTCGCCGGACACAGTGACCTGCCTTTCTTAGCTGATCTAGCGAATGGATTCAATATACATTTTCCACCTCATATCAGCAGAGAGCGATAGCACGAGTAAACGTTTATATATTTAACATTAAGCTTCATCAGAGATGAAATATGGAGGGAAAAATCACTTCCTCTCACGCATTACTTTTTTCTGCTCCTTATTTCAATTTCTAAGTTTAAATAAAAGCGAAACCTATTAAATTTATTAGCGATTCCTGTTCGTTACTTATCTTTTTGGAGGAATCTGATCAATAATCGAACCTCGTCCTGATATGCACGCACAAAACCGCATGCATTTTCTATTCATGGTATGCCTTTCCACCCGGTACTTTTTACCTGTGATGTACTTTTGATGAAGCTGCCTCAGGAACATTTCCATAATGCTTCATTCATGGCACATATTCACGAACCTAAGCCGCATCGATTTGTGTAAAGATCTTAATGTAAGCCATATTAACAACATTCCTTTGTCCTTTCAATTCTTTCAACTAAAAATCAATTATCGCCGCAGTACATATTTTCTAGAAAGGCTTATATTGATGGACAATTTATGGTAAAGTTCTGTTTCACCTACCAGCAAGTTGAACCGAAATAATTTGTTTTCTCCTCGAATTTAAAATGGGTATTACAGGATTTTTTTTTACATTTCCTCTGCAAAATCTATTTTGACACATCAATAAATGTGTGGCACTTGATAAAACCCTTTATTTTACAAAGCGAGTAATTTTCAACATAATCTCCTTCCTAGGCTATTTACTTAATGAACCATATGTGCCACTTTGATCGAATATACAGTGACTATTTCGGAACAAAATTCAGCTAATAATTGTTCATCAAATAATTAACCCAACGGTCTATAAAACTCTCTCTCTCTCTCACACACACATATATATATATATATATATATATATATATATATATATATACAGTGTAACCCGGATATAAGATATTTTCTCTGGTCCTAAATTAGAGCCTATGTTAATGTATATATAATAGACCAAACCCGGATATAAGAGACTTCTCCGGTCCCGACAACTCTCTTATATCCGGGTTACACTATATATATATATATGCGATGAGAACGAAAGTAATATATAAATTCCAGCATTCAAGCGTCGAAGAGCAGTTGAAATGCACTGAAACCAACTTGCATCTTTGTAGTGAGTAAAATGGTTTTGTCTATATGATAAAATTATATAATATATATATATATTCACAGCGATCAATTATTTTAATTTTTTTGTCTCAGCAATTCACCCCCTGAAGGTGATTTTGGATGAGGTTAAAAGTACTTGAGGGAAAATAAAAGAAATGAAAAATAGCTACGGCGCCTTCCGTAATGAGTTCATAACAGCATTAAGAAATTGATCAAAGAATTTGAGAGGATTAAAATTAAAATAGCCATAATGCGCCGAGATTATTCAACCAAACATATTTCAATGAAAATATTTGCCCAAATAATATATTATATATATATATATATATATATATATATATATATATATATATATATATATATATATATATATATATATATATATATATATATATATATATATATATATATATATATATATATATATATATATATATATATATATATATATATATATATATATATATATATATATATATATATATATATATATATATATATTATATATATATATATATATTTTATATATATATATATATATATATGTCTGTGAATGTGTGTGGTGTTTTTTTTATTTCTGTATACCGTTTTATGGCATCAAGTCCTACACACAGGTGGGAAAATCCTGTTTAAAACTACTATGTTAAAGCGTTAGTATGTGACTTTGGTGACGCAGTCATTGAGTGCAGACTAAGGGTTGCTGGAAACTACGTAAGAGATAACTGAAATGTTGTAAGTAAGAACGACATGATATCCCTAGAAATGGATGAAGAAACGAGAAGAGGTTAGTTCGAAATTTTAAGATTGCTGGAATCGACAAGAACTTAATAATGGCTGGATGACACAACGGCCAAAGGATTGCGGTAACAATAAATATGAGGACAATATTATATATATATATATATATATATATAAAAGTACGTTAGTTTAAAATAGAGATAAAATGTTCGCACACATACATATATATTACACAACCCCATATGATCTAAATTTGGATTTTGTTTATATATATATATATATATATATATATATATATATATATATATATAAAGGGGGGGCGATTTTGTCCTGTATCCATTTTGCATGTGAACACTATTTTTACTTTCTGAACTTTTTTGCCTCATTACTGTCGTTTTGCCGTAGCGTGACTAAAGTTACGGATAGAGGTAAAACAGAGATCGAGGAGGGAAACATATCCGTCAGATATACTGAGGAAACGCATAGGAAAGTCACTTAAGGAAGGGATTGAGTGATTGAAAAATTAAAGGGTTTGAATGCTAGTGGGGTCAGTGACAGTGTTTAAACCACCTAGTGTGGTGGGTGGAAAAGTCACCGAACACGAATGTGTTAGGGAGACGGGTGTAGGGAGATGAGATAATCAATATTATTGGAAATACTATCTATCACGCAACAGCCATGACAGGAAAGTGTATCGGTAGCGAAAGAAGAAATAGCTGACTGAATTAAGGAGAGAGAGGGACGGAGACACATAAACGAATGGTATGGAGATTCAAGAGAGAGTTCCAGTGGTTTGGAGATTCAAGAGAGAGTTCCAGTGGTTTGGAGATTCAAGAGAGAGTTCCAGTGGTTTGGAGATTCAAGAGAGAGTTCCAGTGGTTTGGAGATTCAAGAGAGAGTTCCAGTGGTTTGGAGATTCAAGAGAGAGTTCCAGTGGTTTGGAGATTCAAGAGAGAGTTCCAGTGGTTTGGAGATTCAAGAGTGAGTTCCAGTGGTATGGAGATTCAAGAGAGTTCCCTAGCCAACTGGAGATGTTTGGACATAAACTCCCAGGCCGTGTCTGTGGACAGTGGAGATATATAATGTATATTGAATAATATAGACATATTATGTCTATTTTTATTATAAACCCTTCTAGTACTGTAATCTATATCGTGGTGTTAAGATGAAATTCATCAAAGAAGGCCCTGTAGTTTTTTTTTCTCACCCAAGTACTTTCTATTTCCCACGAGATCATCCTAAGTGGGTGAATTACTACAAAGAGAAACACATTGTAATCTTTGATCGTTGTGAATGGTAATTTTTAAAAATGCGCATGAACGCGCTCAGTTATAATTATTTTAATTCAGACGGTTTAGCAAAATATGTGTGCCAATGCCAGGATAAATTTCATCTTAATATCAAGAAACTGGTTAAACAACTGGAAAGGATTAGTTTAAAGATAGACAGAATGTTTATATTATTTAATGTAATATGTTTGAACGAAGTTTTGCTATATATATATATATATATATATATATATATCTTTCTGCAATACTTATTCTTTTAAAACTTCATTTAGTCTACGGGGTATTTGTTCTGCTCAACAGGAATGAAACTAAGCGATTGTTTCGAAGCACTTTTTTCTCACTGGAATAACTGTGCAATTAAGAATTCTGCCAAGCTAAGTATATATTGAAAACTTATGTAAGGCACGGTGGAGTACGGATAACAGCTCGGATTGAGGAATCGGAGAGCCGAGTTCGAATTCCAGTCGAATCCTTTACATTCACTTAAATGCTAATACCTTTGGGAAAGGTATGAATCCTCTTCTCCCCCCAGCTATGGATAAATAGCAGGACAGACCGGGTTCTGTAGCCTTAGATTGCAACTGGTCTACCGCAGAAAGAAATGGAAAAAATATGTGTCGTCAGTCATGTATCGAAAGATACATGATCGCCTAAGCGTGTTTTACGCATGGCGCACGGCTGACTGACGTAAGAAGGTATATATTTGACGATGACTCTAGAGTATTCATGTCTTCCAAATTTTTTCGTGTATCAGAAAATGAAATATTGATCTTATTTGACTCTTGGCTCAAATATTCTGCCTGGAACACTTATAAATGGTTAGTGAAATTTACTTGTCAAATTCACGAATTAAAAATTGTATCTCTCTAGAAAAACGGTCCGTTAAATATACAAAGGGGATCGATATCTCTTATAAAAAAAATCGATTATTATCTAACGCCTATTTCTATGTTATTAGTTACTTTAAATATCATCAGCTTTATCCGGGATAGAAAGTTTCCTTGTCATTTTTCTTTCTTCGTTTTTCTTTCTTCGTTTTTCTTTCTTCGTTTTTCTTTCTTCGTTTTTCTTTCTTCGTTTTTCTTTCTTCGTTTTTCTTTCTTCGTTTTTCTTTCTTCATTTTTCCATCTCGAAATTACAAAATTAATTACGTTTTCGCAGCGACAGATTTATCCGTCCCGTGTATGACGATAAACCACATCCGGCAGCAAGGCCTCTAATCAGATAGTTTTAAGGAGTGTGGTACCACCTCTTAATTATTATTGTCTCCTGGTGCATCATGATGTGGGGTCGGATCACCTGTTAGGGTCCCAGCTATGGGTAAATAGTGAACCCCAAACTAGAGTCAAAACACTATAAAATTCTAAAAATAGATTTTTATAGTAAAAATACAATCAATACATTAAAAACATATTGCCAGCAATACATTTTTGAAAAAAAAATTACATTATACATTGCCTCTCGACAAAATCTCTCTTTATAAAAATACGTCAATGAAACCTGATCTACAAAATGATTTCTGAAAAAGAATATATATTCTATTTATACGAACCTATCATGAAAATATTGACAATGTTAAATAACCCATTGAGATTGATTATACTGTAAAACAAAATAAAAAAATAAAACAATAGATTTATCACACCTAAAGGCTATTAAAGAATTATTTTCAGGAAATTGAACGTCTCTAGTTCACAAAATGTTGTAATTCTTTTTAATACTGAAATGGGAGTTAACTTCCTATATTCATTTTTTTTTTTCAAGTGCAGAAAGTTAATAGCTGGATTATGTTATTACATTCTCTCCACGTTACACATGCACGTTTTCGTTGTTATTGTTGAAAGCCACAGAGATACGATTTTCTTAATTATCTGTCAATCTATTGGTTCTGTTAAAAGAAAAGGCGCTCATGATAATCATTGTTGAAACGGTTTTTTGTTTGTTTTTTGGTTTTGTTTTTTGTTTGTTTTCTGATTGTTTTGGGGGGTTTTCTTTTGTTTTTTTTTATTGTTTTCTTTTGTTTTGTTTTTTTTATTGTTTTCTTTTGTTTTTTTTTTATTCCTGCCTCCATGGACGTTCTCACAAACCTTGGAATTCGAGTTTAATTTCCCAACGCAAAACAGAAAATTTACCGCAAAAAAATGTTTTATATTCATTAGCATTAAAATACATTTTACATTCGAATATTTCTTCGTTTCCACAGGTATAAATACTTGGATCTGAATCCGGCAGAGACCTGGATCCTTGCAAAGTTACCGAAAGAGTATTTCATTTTTGATGAGCTCCACATTTTGGGAAACAGTCATTTAGCTTTCCTGTCCTCAAACCTTACCAATTCTATCGATACTCGTGTCAATAAACTTGTGAGCGACAAAACAGGTAATTTTTATACTAAATAATTATTTCAGTAAATCACAACTTACCTATGATATGAGTACATACACTGAGCTATTTGATGTCTGATTATTCAGTTACCGAATTCGGAAAAATGCAAGATTATATATATATATATATATATATATATATACACACTTTATTTCAATACTTTGTGAGCTTCCAATCCTTAGCTATGATTAATTAATGAGGAACATATCATTTTCGTTTATGCTCGGTTTCATCACGATTCTTCTCTTAAGATTGGAGAGCAATCAAACTCTTCTTGTTGCTCAAAGTAGTCTAATAGTGTTATAAAAACCTTGGAGAATTCCAGTAAGATATATTTAATCATTTCTAAGATACAATGGTTCAGAGCTTAATTTAACAATTGGACAATTTTGCCTATATATATATATGTATGTATGTATATTTGTTCTGAGTGGATAAGTACCGAACCCACACGATTTCGTATCTTATCGTATTTTTATATTGTTCCTTTACTAAATTTCGTTAATAGATTCGTAGAATGTAGTTGTGTCATGCATGGAAGTGCGTTCTCAGATATGGTCGATCGAGGAAAATCATCGACGATTGTGTTTATGAACAGGAATTTGTACTTTGCTAACTAGACGCCTCTCTGTAGCTAAATGGTATAGCATGTCAGATCAAATGACGGTTTCCGTATAGGAATACAGTTTCGGTTCTTATTTTCTACGAAGTTTCTCGAGCCTTCAGTCCGGCAAATGTGATTAATACTGTTTCATTAAAAAAAAACGGAGCATTTATTTAAATAATTTGTATCTATAAAAAGTAATTCATAAACAGAACATACACACAAGTTTCGTTAAAAAAAAATCTTACAAAGTAATTATATACTGTACCTATGAACACTACTGAGTAATGTCCCAGTCCTCATAAATATGATGGACACTAGTGGAAGTTGGGGGGTGGAGTAATATGTTGTTTAAGTAGTCCGGCATCAGCTCAAGATGAAGATTAGAACTGATAGAAAACGCTTGCATTCGACAGTCTTCAGCGAAAGGTGGGTGACTGAGGCGAGCTTGGTTCGTTTGAACAGGACTAGCCTTTATTTTCTCTTTTAGGTCAACCTACGTCACATCGGGGTGGTGTCTTGTGGAGCCCCCTCCCCTTGATTAGGTTAGACAAGCTTTGTGTACCTAGTTAATGTGATTAAATTTTGTTCCTGACCTGTTCCCGGCTGCCTTTCTAAGTAGAGATTCCCAACCTCCCCAGTTGGTTTTTTTGCCCCCCCTTTTCATCTCTACTGGGTCAGCTTTTATATTTCCTATGTCCGTCTATATTTTCTCCTTTCCCATTCATTTAGCGAGAGAGCTTCTTGATTTTGTCCCATGGGCAGAATACAGCGGCCTCTCATTTTGAGGGTTAGATGGGCCCTACTAACATCAATTAAGTTTAGTTGATTTTGTGTTAATGTTTTTTGTTATGGGGTTCATCTCCGTACCCGCTCATTTTATTCATCCATAAATTTTTAAGTACACATATATAAGCATTAGATTTTTATGGAATGGGGCGCATTTTGTAGGACCCCCTTGAGAGGATGTGGTATTATGGTGCATGGAGGATTGATTGGTGATGGACGAGTTCTTGTGGTGAATGGGTAAATTGTAATGAGTGAATGTGCCTTGAATCTGATTAGCTAGGTATAAGATAGTGTAGACCAGCCTCTACGCTTCCCCCTCAGGCCACGTGTCATAATTGTGTATTTTCGCACCATAAATATCAATATGTTGTTTAAGTAATCCGGCATCAGCTCAACATGAAGATTAGAACTGATACAAAACGCTTGCATTTGGCAGTCTTCAGCGAAAGGTCGGTGAAAGAGGCGAGTATGGTTCGTTTGAACGGGGCTAGCCTCGATTTTCTCTTTTAGGTCAACCTACATCACATTGGGGTGGTTTCTTGTGAAGCCCTCCCCTTGGTTAGGTTAGACAAGCTTTGTGTACCTAGTTAATGTGAGTAAGTGCTGCTCCTGGCCTGCTCCCGGTTGCATCTTTGGTTATGGTTCAAGTCGAGATTCCCAACCTCCCCAGCTTGTTTTGGCCCCTTTTCATCTCTACTGGGTCAGCTTTTTATATTACCCATGTCCGTATATATTTTCCCCTTTTCCCAATCCCTTAGTGAGAGGGCTTCTTGATTTTGTCCAACGGGCAGAATACAGCGGCCTCTCTTTTTTTGAGGGTTGGACGGGCTCTACTAACGTCAGTTATGTTTAGTTTACTTTGTGTTTCATGTTTTGTTTATGTTTGTGTTCATGTTTAGTTTACTTTGTGTTTCATGTTTAGTTTACTTTGTGTTCATGTTTAGTTTACTTTGTGTTCATGTTTAGTTTACTTTTCATGTTTAGTTTATTTGTTTATGTTTACTTTGTGTTCATGTTTAGTTTACTTTGTGTTCATGTTTAGTTTACTTTGTGTTCATGTTTAGTTTACTTTGTGTTCATGTTTAGTTTGTTTTGGGGTTCATTCCTTCCACTCTCATTCTTCATCTTTTAGATTTTTATATAAAATAATTTTTTATCATTAAATGTTTATGGCATGGAGTGCGTTTTGTAGGACCCCCTTGAGAGGATGCGGTATTATGGTGTATGGAGGATTGGTTGGTGATGGACGAGTTTTTTTATGGTGAATGTGGAAATTGTAATAAGTGAATGGGTCGTGAATCAGATTAACCAGGTATAAGATAGTGTCGACCAGCCTCAACTCCTCCCCCTTTTTTGGCCTTATGCCCTAAATGTATTTTAAGATACAATAAATACCAATATGTTGTTTAAGTAGTCCGACACTAGCAATGATTTAACTATTTCACGCCGCTGGCGAGTATTGTATTTTTGTTGATGTTATAAAGATTACCATTTCTTTTCCAACATTTGGTTATTCCGCATTCAGTAACCCTTTTTAGTTTACAACAGTACTACGGTTAAGTTTTTTATTTATTTTTTTTTCTTTTCTGGACATAAATCATGTAGAAATTGTCTGAATGTTTTGTATGTCCAAACGTTTTCGGCTATTCTTTTAGCCATTATTAAGGATGATTTTATTTTTAACAGAATCTATGGATTTGAAAATTATATTTTCCAGACAAAGCATATTGTGGCCGTGTTTATAATTGATAGTACTGAGTGTTGACTTTTTTCTTTTTTTAGTAATAATGCTTCCAGTATCTTTCACCTTTTTGACGTGTGTATAAGGATACTACATTTATATTTTGAACGAGTATATTGCAGATGGATTTTGGTAGGCCTCCATGTGTATTTACACTAGACATAATTTAGCTATGTTTAGAGAGATGTAATGTGAGTCTTTCTATTAGGCATATTATAGTATATCCAATATAATTATTCATGAATTTGGTTTGATCAGGAACACAGTTCCTTCAGGGATATGTTAATATTGGCTCTCTGTAACTTAGCTCTTACGGTTGAGTTATTGTTGTTGGCGATAAAGGTTAGCAGTTTTAATTTTTTTTTTTAAAGAGATAATTTAATTTTCTTGCCTTTGTCATACAGAACTTTCGGACAATTTCTACATAATTTATTTCCGAAAGAGAAAAAAAAAATTTAAATAATAAATTTTACCGTAGTACCTTGCAAGTCGTTTTTAACTAAACTTGTATAAAAGAGGGATTGCTACCCAAATACTCACACATACATACGTTTGTGTGTGTAAAGAGAGAGTTAAACAGGTTTCAAGTAATAAGAAACAAAATATATAATCTTGATAAATATTGCATTCTTTTCCCAGGTTACCTTCATATCGGCTTCAACCAGTCGGTCACCATCCAGAAAACGGACTCTGATATTCCTTTCAACACCCGTGTTTATGAAAATGGTCACATCCATTTTCCAAAGAGGACATTCTTTATGAAAACTCATCTCCATTCTTCAGGAAAAGTAATTATTGACGCTTTTTTGCTTGAATAAAATTCTTCAACAAATATAAATTCCAAATATTTTTTCCGAATTTACGACTGGATGAATACTGTGTTGCTTAATAAATTATGGATTCACGAAGTCGTTGCTTTTAATATTATTAATTGTTACACTCTTTTGTATTAATTGTTACACTCTTTCTAACGAATTGACAATAATGAGTGGTCGTAATTTCCATCGGTGCGAAAAATAGAATCTGGGAGATGGGTTCAAATCCAAACCAAGGTTGTATGAATTCACCTCGAATTTCATGCTCTTGAAGGCATGAATCCATATCTTCTACCTGTTGGTGAAATAATAGAGTAAACTGTTTCTTAATTTTGATAGGACATTAAATGTAGAAAAGAAAAACTGTTGATTTTTAAGCAAGCCGGAAGAGAATCGATCTATGCTAGACTATTTTGCCCGTGGGCTCGCCTGCAGCGGTGCCTCCAAGAACACTATAATTGGTTGTAAATCATTTCCAATCTAATGTGTTATGACAGATTACTGTAATTAATTACCCGTTCTTTCTTGTATTATTAAATACTACTTTATACTGCGATATTTCAAGATATAAATTCTTTGTTTTTTTTATGTTTAGGGCGAACGTTTTTTAGGATTATATTGGGTAGTTTACAACGATAGTGCTTTTTTGTTTACTTGCAGTTAGAATTACAAGCACTTCGTCTTTGCAATCTTCAGCTAAAAGATCTTTTTTGTCCTTTTTCTTGATCAGTAACTTGCTATGTGTCCTTGAGGACATCTGGGTATGAATTTCTGGGTATTATAAACCGCTTTTCTCTGGCACTCCTTATTATTGGTTCCCATATTGTATTCATTTCGATGCTTGGTCAGCTCAGGAAATTTTTGTGGCTTAGCATGTGCTGAAAGCATAGAAATGAATACAATATGAGAACCAGTAATAAGGAGTGCCTGAGAAAAGCGGTAATAACAAAAATTGTAATATACGCTCTGGTAAAAATATGTAATGATAACAGCAAAAATTGCAATATGAGCACTGGTAAAAAAAATAGTTGCTGAAGACATTAGGTTTATAATACGCAGAAATTCATTAATAGATGTTCTCACGGACATGTGGCACAGTGGATAAAGGTGTTAGATCCAGTGAGAGGACCCAAAAGAGTGTGAGTTCAATACCCGGTTATGGTAGTGGAGAACTTGGAGAGGGGTATTAATAGACATCCATTAAACATGGCATCTTTTTTTTATCGTATTGAAGCAGCTCAACACGCTTTTTTTTTTCATTTTTAAAAACTGACATAGTTTTCTTGGTTTAAAAATACGACTAATGCAACGGTTTTATATTATTTTCTCTCACATATTGTACGCATGCAATAAGTTGACCTGTGTTATACAGGTCAAAAATCACTTATATGAATTTCAAAAATTCGTCGGCTTAGTTTGAGTTTAAAAAACCAAATCCCAAGGGTAAATTTATCCTTGAAACTTTAAAAGCCTGCGTTGGTAAATTATTAATTTTGAAATTTGGATTGAAGATAGTCGGAATGAAACTCAAAAACAAAAAAGAATGAACGTAAATTTATTATTCACATTATTATGACTGTTATCCTTATCTTCATTGCCATATTCACAACGCTTCAGCCGTTATACGCTCCGGCCTTCTTTAGGTGATTGGAATTTGAACCGAATCCTTTATTTCGTCCACCGGGATAGATTGTTCTAGTTCCAAGTGCCATGTCTCTTCCGGACACATGACCCAGTGGATAAAGGCATTGGTTTGATCCAGTGACTAGAGCCAAAGAGTTGTGAGTTCTAATACCAAGCTACAGCAGTAGTAAAACCAAAAATCATCCGGAAGAGGGATCAGATGTATTTAGCAATATTTAATTTCTGGGAGTTTTCAGGTATAAATATCATTGCCTCAAAAACGTTTTTTGAATCTAAATTGATGTTAAAGCACCGAGAAAAGTAAAAGCAATTCCCCAAGAACCCAGGTTCGAAATAAAATCTTCATCTTTGAATTAAATTAATACTGAAGTTCAGAACATATTTTTCTTTTTTTTCTTTTTTTTTTTTTTTTTTCAAACACTTTTTTAAGGCAATCCTGACAAAGAAACATTGTTAACAGTTTTAAAAACAAAAATCCTAATGTTCTATTTTCAGGTATCTGGAATTGAAGATCTCTATGTTTATAATGGCGGAAGTGTAACTATTGACACCAATGGAACAGTTGGACTGAAAACATTAGATCCGATTAAATCGGCGCGAACTATTTCATTGAAATCCATCCATGTCCAAGATAAGGGTCGCTTAAAATTAGATGCATCTTCGGTAGATGAACCTTTCATTGTTGATGCTACCAGCATTCAGGTGTGTGTTTTTTGTTTTTTTTTTTTGGGTGTTTGTTTTTTTTTTTTTTTTTTTTTTTTTTGTTGGGGAGTTCTGTCATATTTTCAGAAAGATATCTCTTGCTTTGTACGTATATCTGAAATATCTTTACGATTATACTGGATGGCCCAAAATATTAGTACTTTTTTGCCATTGGACATATTTCGTTTTCTTTTCCTATCTGCTTTCAAAACAACACCTTTTATATCGTAGCATAGCAGGAGGCATTTTTCATATTAAGTCAAAATTGGTTTATTGTTTGTTAATTTTACAATAGCGGATAGATCATTTTGACAAAGCTGAAAACCTTAAGCAGATGCAAAATATATAACACTAGAATTCCCTCTGAATGATCGGACCTACCAATAGCAGTTCGACAAGTTTTATGATGGGGAGTTTTCACTAAGCAATGCTCCATCGTCATTACCACATTGACTTGCCCACCAAGATAACTCGTAGTCGACGTCATAAAAATTATCAACGAATCACGATTTATCTCGTGCATAGCTTTTTATTATATATTCTCATCTGCGGTTGCCAACAGCGAATATATTCGCTGTGATACTTTCAGGGTAAAAACGATGTTAATACTTTAGTTGAAGCTATAAATCAACTCAGTTTTTAATTGCCTAACTTTGCTAATATGAAGTTGGCGTTTGAAATCAGATTTCCTAATTGACCTCTAGAGATCAACCTATTAAATCAATGTATTATTCTAAAATAACTCTTATTCCCGAATGTAAGTGCCATTCCTGTTGTTTTGTCGTTTCGATGCTTCCATATAAGTAAATAAATATCTCGACTAAAGTGCATAAAAATGTTCCGTTTTTGAAAGCGGTTGGAATGGTTGATAAAAAGAAAATATTATTCTGCCTCTATAACCATAAAAAGGGAAGTAACTCGTATTGTTATGTCTGCGATAACCGTCAGACAGACATTATAACTTGTTTCCTTCTTTCCCATAGATATTTAGAGCTAGAGATTATAATATGTTTATGGAACTCCTAAGTTAGAATTATATATATATATATATATCATTATTTTTTTAATAAGTGTGTGTGTAATAGCGTGTTCGGAAAATAAATCGGTTGGCCTTATCTCGGATCCAAGAATTTAATTTCATTGCTGATCACTTTTTTTATGTTGTTGCAGTGAGGTTCATCGAGGTAGAGGGTTACGTTAAGAGAAACTTTATACGTATAGAAGGGTAAGATAACGATTAACTCTAGACTTGGATAGGATAAGACTGTAGTGATCGAGGGAGCATCCTCTTGGGAGTCAGTTCTACAGGGCAGTGGTTCGCGGGAATAAGCTGTTCGAGTGGAACTTATCACTGAATGTGGGTGGTTTGCTACAATGTGCGAAGTATGGAATGTTCATGCCGTGAAGGTTTTAACTGCGGAGTCAAGGAGTGTAGTTCGTCCGAGCACTTTCCGTGGAAGGGGTATTAGAGGCTGGCTACATAGAGAGAGAGAGAGAGACACTGACTGACTGAGAGAGATTGACTGACTGACTGACTGACTGACTGACTGAGAGATTGACTGACTCACTGGAAAATAATTCGTTACCCACATGGACTCAGACTCTTTTGAGATCTGTCGAGACTGGAAAGAGAGAACTAGGCAACTCCCTCTCCCCAAATATGACAACCTTTATGATGATGGCGTTGATGATTAAATTCGTTACCAACGTGTAGGTTCAACAATAAAAGCTTCCAGCTTCACCAAAATCGTCGTTTGGCTTTGCACGAGTTGGTTGGAGATGAAAGAAAATCAGAGTAGAAAAATGTGCTGATGGCGTGATTTTGTTTAAGGTGGACTTCAACTTGTCAGGATATGATACTCGATTTCATTACCTTCCTTTACGGCCTATATTGAAATGAGACAACCAGAGTATTTTTATGAAACTCCGATAGACTGCCGCTGACTCGGTTATAATTTTGAATGACGCCGCCTTTAACATGTTTGTCATGCTTAGCCCTCTTCATCCGCTTATTCCACTGTTGCGGTCTTTGGAGTTGGTTGCACTTAGCCAAGGTTGGCTTTACTCAAAGACAACAGATCACGTAAGCCCTTCAGCACGACAAGGGGCGACTATCAGAGATACGTCCATGGAAACACACACATGTTTTACACTGTTCGTCATCCAATGTACTAAAAATTAGGTATTTCACTAGTATTATGAGTCAACCAAATAAATCAGAATCAAGACTGGCTACTTAGAAACTGCAACTAGAAGTATTTGATCAGCTCTTCTATAATACACTGTCATTTCTAACATATTTCAGAGCTTAACGCATAAATGAATAATTATACACTTTAAAAAGTAACATACCGCCCTTTGATACTGTATGAATTCCAAAATTGAGGCATTGATATATGATCCTTCGGTTATGTGGATAATCCGAGGAATTCCTGAGAAATGAATATCCAGGTAAAAATCCTAGAAGAGAGCTCAATGTGTGAGAATAATAACAAATCATGCAGAGCAATGTAATTAAGGAAAATTTCAAAGAAAAAAAATTATATTTGAGTTTTCCAGCTATAAACTTAAAAATTTATTTCAACAGTTGTTTTACACTGCATCATCAGACTGGTTTAAATGCGCCAAACAAAAAATAAATTGATTTAAGAAACAGAGAAAAGAAAATTGTGGTAGCGGGAGATAACAAATGACAGGAAGGAGTAAAAATGAAGGCAGAAGGGAGAGACAGATATCTTGTTGGGTGAAGAGGCCTGAGGTGAGGTGAGGTTTATTTTTTTACGAAACTGTTTGAAATAGCTGTTCTGTCAAATGCCATAGGAATAGATGATCTTTTTAAATATACAGAGTAACCCGGATGTAAGAGAGTTGTCGGAAGCGGAGAAGAAGTCTCTTATATCAGGGTTTCTCTTATATCCGGGTTTGGTCTATTTTATATACATTAACACAGGCTCTAATTTGGGACCAGCGAAAATATCTCTTATATCCGGGTTACACTGTGTGTGTATATATATATATATATATATATATAGTATGTTACTTGAAAAAACATACATCTGAATACTGTAATAATTTTGATACTATTATATAAACATACATATTTATATATTGCATTAATATATTAGTAATATATAACATATAATACATATTATTATCAGACCACCAAGTAAATCATAGCAAGCAACAACGGGAAAAATCAAACGCCAAGATAAATATAAAGAATAAATGCCTATTTTTAGAATAGTTTAAACCTATTTCTATGGAGACAATTAAATATAATTTCATTTATTTGGTTTAATAACTGATCTATGTTTTTGTATTTAATTATTTTAGTTTTTAATTCGAGGCAAAGGTTACGTCTATTCCTAAAGTTGTAGGACATTTGGGACTTAAGGATTTTCCACTTTATTTGGGGTGTAAAGCCTCAGTATTTTAAATTCCAAATGTGTTTTGACGGAGCTGATTGACATTTTTAGAGACTCGTCTGAAAATGAATGTCTGTGATTGTATAATCTCTACTTCCAATTCCTAGCTGAAATTCCTATAAATGTTTTTTTTTTTTGTTTTTTTTTATTTATTTTCATTTGGGAATATCGTTGCTTGATAAAAGACATTTTTTATGTAGACATTTAATTCAAACTTTATCAATAATCTTTGGTATTACAATTGCAAGTGGGGGCACACTTTGAAATTTTTCTTAATTATACATATATATAGGTGTGTGTGCAGTGTATATGGTTAAAGTGAATGATCGTGCATGTCAGTTGTGGTGTAAAATCTTTTTAAATGGCGACTGTGTTATATTGAACAAGCCTCGTTCTGGAAGACTACGCTGAATATCTTTTTAAAAACTACCGATGTGCCATGCTCCTAATATATCTTGTTCCACAGTTCGCAAAGATATCAAACGAACTGAGAAAACTTTCAAAGAGGGAATTTAAGTTCCTCATGGGCTTTCAGTTGAGAAGCGAACATATTATCCTATCATCTACTACAGACTGTTAATCTTGAATGCTAACTTTTTATTGTTATTGGCAATGGAAAATAGGTTTTGCGTGTCACCAGAAAACGTAAAAGTCTCGTTATGAGAAACCAGTGCCAACACCAAACGCAGTACAACAACCGCAGAAGTCACTGCTTTGTGCCTGATGGAATATGAAAGTTGTCGTCCATTACGAGCGACTGGAACATGGAATTACCCTCGCTGCAGACGTTCATTACATGTAACCTGATCGGCTAAACAAGACATTACGCCAAATTTACACTACTTTGGTAAAAAGAAAGTATTATTCTCAGTTATGACAATATAATAACGCTGTGCCAAACGAAGCAAGAACAAGCAAGACCGTTAAGATGGGAAGTTCTACATTCTCAATACTCACCAGGCTTAGTCCTGACAGATTTCCATTTGTTTCCTTCCCAAGAACATAAGTGTCAATACATTTAGAAACAGAATTTGAAGATAGTTTTTCATTTTTTTGCGGCGGGAGAGAAGAACCCAGATTTGTTTAGCGGAGGAATTGAAAATGTAGCATTTCTTGAGAAGAATGTGGCAAACTTCTTGCTGCTCTACCGCTAATTCCATGGAAAGTGCTCGGATGAACTGTATTCCCTGGTCCCACCAAGGCGAACCTCCATGACTAGAATACGCCATACCACTTACATAGTAGCAAACTACCCACATTTCTTCCATATTTCATTGGTGAGAAGTTAGTTCCACCCGAGCAGCTTCTTCCAGCGAACCACTACCCAGTGAAATCGACTCCCAACGGGATCTTTCCCCGATCACTATAATCTTGACCTATTCAAGGCAAGGGTTAATCGTTATCTCCCTCACCTAACACGAAAATGGCCATGTAACGTAATCCTCTACCTCGAGTTGCCCCCAGGCCTTTTAAATGTTGACTCTCACTGTAATTTAAAAAAAAAGAATCTCGTAGTCGACTTGTGGCTACGATTGGTTAGGACCAGCAGTTCGTAAGTCGGGCCGTAATTAATTTTGCAATTTTTTTTTTTTTTTTATCTTTCTTTAGACATTATTGTATGTTTATAATAACCATATTTCTACATGTCATTTGGTTTCTTATGCTTACGCTTGTCAGGTTTAAATCAAACACCGCATGCTAGTTGTTTTAATATTCGACTAACACACAAAATATATTTTGTTGCAAAACGTACCAAGATTTATACAAATACTAAATACTTTATTAGCCACTAGTCGATGTCGTCAACTCGGGGTAGCCGGTGGATTTTTTTTTTATTTCACATACATGTTGAGCTTTGTCTGAATTGTTTGTTTCTATTTCTCCTAATAAATGTCACGATATAGATGAAACACATAATGTGCTATCCTTTCAAAAATAATTCGATGTTTGGGAGAATTCCTTCAAAATGTACAAGGGGTTTAATCTGTAGAGATAAACATTCTCATAATCCCTTAGTGGTAAATCTCCTTTCTAGAAAACACTCACAGACGCGGGGTAGTCGTGGTCATAAAGTCAAATAGTCTAAGTGGACGATAAGGATGATTATGTGTTTTGGGGGGTTTTTGGGGGTTTTTTTTTTGCATGCTAGTTAACATCCGTGTCAGTCAGTCGTTGGCTCTCACGCTGGCCAATACAATCTTCTGCGTATTCATGGCAGCCAGCTATTGGCTCTCACTCTGGCCAGTAGAAAATGACCGCAAACTATATGAAAACTGCCGTAGAAGCATGAAAAAATCGATTATTTCCACTATCGATGGAAGTTGGGAAATGCCACGTCGGTCTTGGCCTTCCCGCTAACTTGGAGCATGTGCATGTAAATTTTGGTGCAAATCCGTCGAAAATTGAGGCCGTGCAATCGTTAAACACACACACACACATCCTGCCTTATATATATATATATATATATATATATATATATATATATATAATTCCAGTCGAATCCAATACATTCACTTACGTGCTAATAACATTGGGAAAGGTATGAATCCTCTTTCTCTCACCCATCCCCCGCCAGCTATGGGTAAATTGCAGGACAGACTGGAATCTATAACCTTGGATGACAACTGGTCTAGGAGAAGGACAACTCTGAATTCAAAACCTGCGGAGGATCTTTTAGGGACTTTGTGGCACGTTGTGCACCAGTTCTCAGTTTTCGGGTTTTCAAAAAGTGTGGTTGGTTCTGCACAAAGCCTTCACCACTATAATCAAATAGTATGTGCAGGTTTGTCTAGCTTTCGGTTCCTAGGAAGTGAGTTGTCTAAACCTCATACGTCGTAAAAAGGGTCCCCAGTAGGCGCAGGTCGATAGCCCGCGTCGATCAACGACGGGAGATTCCACACACACACACACATATATATATATATATATATACATACATATATGTGTGTGTGTGCGCGAGCGCACTACAGTTTAAAATTTGAAGCCTCCTCTGGAAATTATTATACATAGTTAAAAAATTGAGATATATATATATATTTAAATTTTATTACGAGAAAAAGAAAAAAAAAGCTTTTAAATTTTATTATGAGAGAAAGAAAAACAAGATTTTTATGATTAAATTTTGCTTTTGTCAAAATATGCACCTTTAGCCTTGATTACTGCAGCACAAATTTTTGTTTTTCGTTGCAAAATTTTCTCAAAGTATAAGTTTGATAATTGATTCCATTTTTTTTTTTCCGCAATGACTCGAAGAACTCTTTCTTTTTGCGGATGGAAAGATTTTACTATTCTCTCAAGTTCATCCCATGCTAATTATGGGTATCTCTAAACTTTTGAAATGTAATAAATTACATTTTATTTATATATATATATATATATATATATATATATATATATATATATATATATATATAATGTGTATGTAATAATCTTTACATATATTCAGAAGAAATCTCATTTTGGATAGCCTATAGTATCACCTCGGTAAAAAACAGGACATAACTTTCAAACGTGCAAAAAATATGGGTCCCACTATACACTTTTTCTTTTCTTTTTTTTTTTTTTTTTGAAAGGTTAAGCATCATGCATTTCAGTGTACACAGGTAAAACTTTTTTGGAGGGGTTAAAACTCAAACAAAAATTCAGGTATCGTACTCTATAAATGAAGTCGGCGTATACACAAGTAAATACGGTGAATGAAAGTGTAAAGTTGGATCAGATTCCGATAAGTAAAATTTCTTCCACCAATGGAATTATGATATCAAAATATTCGGAAATAAATTTCAAAGAAATATTTCAAATTGTCTTGTATATCAATTTACATTGTTACTTTTTGTTCCCCTGGAATTCCAACTTTAATTGCTCTCTTTAAGGCCCCTTTTTATTGTCTATTTATGAAAGGTCTATGGCGGAGGACATTTTCAGATCAACACAGCTTTGGACATCAAGACACATCATTTGTTCGCCATATACTCTGGAGGAATCATAAATCTTTCTGGAAAGGGCTTAAAAACACATTCAAACATATCGCAGTCTATCAGTCTTGGACCAGGAATAGGTACGTACAGTCATGGATTATTCCACAAAAATTGTTCGTAAAATCAGGTTTCGTTATTTCTTACACTTATCTCTTAGTTTTGCTTGTTTTGGGGTTTTTTGGTTGTTGATGTTTGTCTTGTTGTTTGTGTTGTTTTTCTATTTTTTGTTTTGTTTTTCTTTTTGTTTTTTGCTTTATTTCCTCATCATAAATGGTATCCGCTTTTGAATTCGGTCTTCGATCCAAACGTGAAGTACTAGACCTGTTACGTTGCTTCGTAATAACGGTAGAACGCATGGGGGCCGAACCTTTCACGGATCCTTTCTGTATCCTTAAGAATCGTTGACACAGTTGAATAGGATATGTTAATCTTACCTGCGAGCGCACTTTGTTTCCTCCTTCATACTGTCGTACATATGCAACACACTCGATGTGCTCGCTTACTTTCACTTTGCAGACGTACGAATTTTAACCACACATGTCGTAAACCGAACCGTCGTAATTCGCATATGTCGTAAGTCGACAACTGCCTTATGTATCTGTATCTGTCTATTTCTAAGATGAGTTATTATGTACACTATTTACATTGCTCGGACTAACTTGAGGACACATTGCACAGTGGATAAAGGCGTTAGTTAGATCCAGTGACAGAACGCAAAGAGTATGAGTTCAATACCTGGTTAAGGCGGTGGAGAACTTGGAGAGGGGAATTAACAGAAGATAACTGATAACTGACATCCATTAGACATAGCACGTGGAACTAGAACAGTCTACCCCAGCGAACGAAATAAAGGGTTCAGTTTGACATTCCAACCACCTAAAGAAGGCCGGAGCGTACAACAGCCGAGACGTTGGGATAAATATAGCAACAAAGATGAGGATGATAGTCTGAGTAATATAAATAGTTTACCTGTACTCTGTTATTTACAATTCTTCTAGAGTTATTTACGAGGCAGTTTAAGTAAACTAAATGTCAGCTAAATCAGAGGGAAATTGATAATTCCATAATCAACTGTTGTATTTGTACTTATCTATTTTAGGTTCGGTCAAAGGAGGCAGTGGTGGTGGTCATGGTGGAACAGGCGGACGTGGCTCAGCGAAAACAGACGTCGGTCGATCTTATGATTCCATTTACACACCACTTATCTATGGAACTTACGGAGGATACGGACGAGATGTGGGTAAGTCGACATGGATTGCTTAAATATAAAAAAGTTACTCTTCAGAATCATAAAACGTTGTGGAATAAAGCGTTACCATATCTAAAAAGAAATTGTCAAATTAGAAGGCTGGTTAAAAAAATAAAAACTTTGAAGTCTTAAAACATGGACAATCAGAAGGAAAGTACTCTAAGCTCTTTAGCAAATGAAGAAAAGAAATTTCTGAAAGGACATGGAATTAAAAAACTTCGGCTCTTGGAATAAATTCCTTAGGATTTTTACATCGTCGAAGAACAATGGTAACCTAACTAGTGTCAGAATATTGCAAATGAAGTGAACTGCATAAAAAGTTATCTACACATTTGTGACTTTCTACGAAACGGAACTTAGCAAAATATAAATGACTTTGAGTGTTTATGATTTACAATTTTTTTTTTTAAGTCAAAAATATCTTAATTGTGATTCATTAGAAAAGATATACTTTTCTATCTAAATCTTATTTAAATGTTTCGGAGTCTGACAGAATTATAAATAAATAAAACAATTTTGAAAACTATTTTGATTGGTTTCGCTGATCAGGGTCATCAGAAAATTGATGTTATTTCAACCAAATCTCGTTTGGCGATAGAGAACGTGACTTTCGTTAGTCATATGAACGCTGGGTTTTTCTTTTTTTACTTTGTTTCATTTTCTTTTTCATTATTTTTTAGTTTATATACTCATTTCTTTTCAGATTTTACGTATCTTACATTGCTTGAACATTAGCTAAATTTCATTTTAAACTAATCTCAATACAAAAATTATCAGGATTAATGCAAATAAAATGTATTTAGCTAATTGTTGTTATATTTAGTAACTTCACTCTATAGTTTCATAGACGAAACGTTTTTCAATCGTTTCGTCAAATTGCCAGGTTTCAGCAATTAAAATTATCATAGACTTCTAAAAATAATAAAAAATTTAATCAAAGTAAAGCAAAAAAAGAATTAAATCAGAACCAGTAGTCTACCAAATGACAAACGTGAAGTGCGATAGAAGAAAGTGTTAGCATAGAACTTACGGTCACGTCTAGCCTTTTCAACTGTAAAAAGGTGAATCGTTACCGCCAATCTAGTATTGCACTTAAATTCATAAGGTTTAGGTACTGTAGCGGCAATACCGAAGAAATAATATTTATTTTTAATAATACAAAATGTGACACAAAGCCAGAAGTGGGGAGAAGGTAGGGCTTGTCTTCAATCTGTCAATTCTCAAAAATTAACTACCCACGATTACCGACTCAAACGTACCACAGTATTCCTTACACCAAAATAACACATTCTTACTGCAGTCACCATAATACCTCTATGTAGTCCTAATTAGTTCCCATATGTACAATTTGTCTGCGATGGAGAGGAATTAAAAGAAAAACAATTTTTCAAAATGAAACCTCAATGAATATTTACAATCATTTATTCAGAGAAGAAAGTCCATCGAAACAATTATCATGAAAATATTTATAGAAAATAGATAGGAAAACTATATTATGGCAGTGGGAAAGTGACTGAAGACAAGATGTCAGGTCCAATAATGTATTGAAAAATATAAAAATTTGGCACAAGGCCAGAAGGAGCAAATGGGAAAGGCTGCTTTTCAATCTGTCTTATCTTAAACTTAGCTAGTCAAATATACCACAATATTCTTTGCACTAAAACCACACATTCTTACTTACCATTCTTACTGCAGTCACCATAATACCTCAAGTCTCTATTTAGTCTTAATTAGTTCCCATATGTACAATTTGTCTGTGGGGAGGATAAAAATAACAATTAAAAACCATCGAGGAACATTTAGCAGAATAATTACCAAGAAAGTATTTATAGAAAAGTCACAGGGAAGCTACGTGAAAGTGACTGAAGACGATATGCCAGGTGAGAACTAATAACTTCTGTGAATTTCCTCAAAAAATCTAAATATATAACAGAAGCAGAAGATCACATGATGTGGCAGTAGTATTCAAATCAAGTAAAAATGGTAGACTTGAATGAAAATCGATACAGTTAAAGTAAATAGAAAAGAGACAGCGTTCATATGAGTAACGGGAATTTCGTGTTGTCTCGACAATTTAGATTTGAAATAAAAATCCATTTTTCTGATGACGCTTTATGATCAGCCAAACATCGAAATATGCTTTTAAGATATATTTTCTATCTAAATCGGTTTACATTTTTTTTTTATCTTTCAGTATTTTATAAATACAATTTTTCAATCTGTACTATTTAATGAATGTATATAGAAGGAAACACGAGCTTTATGTTGTTTCGTTTTAATTTTGTGTAACTAAATAGAGAAGAAGGAAGTATTCATTTTTTATGTTAATATTATGGCTTGATCATTTTCACAGAATAATCCTTTGTATCATGCAGGTATGTTATATTTTGGCGACAAACCTTACAAGAATCAGCTAGTTTACAAAGGTTATGGAGGCAGTGGAGGAGGAGCTATTCAGATCCAAAGCTTACACGTTGACATAGACGGCGAACTGAAGGTCGATGGAGAAGATGCAGATACTGTACACGGCATTGGAGCAGGTAAGAGGATTTTTACCATTTCATATATATATATATATATATATATATATATATATATATATATATATATATAAAATGTAGGAAAAGTTTTCTTGTAATGCGTTTCGCCCTTTTGCGTCCGACGAAGTCCTAAAGGACGAAAAGCGTCAAAAGAAAACTTTCCCACTTTGTCATACATTTTCCATCAATATTGTTTATATATATATATATATATATATATATATATAACATAAGACAAACATAACGATAAATATTTTTATATATCAAGAAGATTATTGGGTGAAACTGTGTGCGGACTGTGGGCAATTTCCTGGACTAATGAGTGAGGCTAGGAGGCTTGGCGAATTTAACATTCACTGGATATTTTAGAGGCAAGAGTGGCACAGGAAACGGAGAGTAAGCTATTTAATGAGTTTTCTTGAATCGATGGAAGAGCAAGGAGAAAGATTGATGGTAAAAAGTCAAACATTGCTTAAAGCTACAAGGGATGACAAGCTGTAGAGAGCCATAGTTGTTCATTCGCTGAAGAGAATTGTCAGTTTCTGTCGATTTTATTTTCCCCGAAAGATTTGAATTTCTCGATTGCAGTGATCGGACATCAAGTTGTAAAGAAATGATCGTAAGATACTTTAAGCTATATTATATTTTTGTTCTCCAATTATAAAATCATTTAAAATTTGTAAATAATATAGAAGAATGTCTACTTGTTTTCAGAGGCAAACTATTGGGAATTAAAAGGAAATATTTTGCGATTACATATCGGCTTGAAATAGGAGAGCGCCAGATAAAATGTTACGTGGAGGTTTAATATTGATTATGAAAAATTGTAATGAAAAATTCTTTTGCTTCTCTTCTATGAATTATTCAGTCCAGTATCGTTATTAGTCTTAATAATGAATTCATCATTACTTATCACAAGTAAGTAATAACACTGTGCCATAGAAAAAGAGTCAGTGACAAAGAAAGACAATAAGAAAAAGAAAATGGCGACTGAGGGATCAAACTTGATATATATCGTCATTCACAGACAGTTTTGCCGTATCACATCTCCTCAGTGTGGCTCGACCTATGATCGCTTCAAGCCTGACTGATTTGGTATCAGTCGGAGATTCAAACCCCTAGGCAGAGATTGAGAGAGATTGAGAGCTAGATAGATTGAGATTGAGAGCTAGATAGATTGAGATTGAGAGCTAGATAGATTGAGATTGAGAGCTAGATAGATTGAGATTGAGAGCTAGATAGATTGAGATTGAGAGCTAGAGAGATTGAGAGCTAGAGAGATTGAGAGAGATAGATTGAGAGATAGCGAGAGAGATAGAGATTGATTTTTGCGTATTTATTTTTTCATAAACACACCAGTGACCTAGAGGACTCGATTCGTTGGGAGAATCTTACATTTTATACATATATATATATATATATATAAATCAAACTTTTTATTGTTACCGCGAGAGACGTTTTTTCTGCATAAAAGGAACGACTTGAAGGAAAACATTAACAGTGCCTCTATGGGTGGCTCTCTTGAAATTTCTTTCTTTTCTAGAAAATTATAATTGACGATCGAAATTACTCGGAAGATGACAGTTTCGGCAAATTTCGTTACAAGCTACAGTCATCAAACGACGTGTTCAACACCAACAGAAACTCATGAACATTCCCGCTTCATTATATTCAATATAATATTTAAACGAAGAATTTCTATATATGAATAGAGACAAAAGGAAAGCTTTTTTTTTCCATCGCTTCTGATTGACTTTTCAAAGCAAATGTAAAGATTTTATTTTGCGACATGTATTTATAGACAGTAAAATTTAACGTTTAGACTTTCAAAATTTTTAAATTTAAGAACATTCAAGAATATTAAGAATGTGAATGCTAAGGTAAACTATACAGGAAGGCTAGGATGTGTAATTTAATGCCAATAAATGAAAGTGGGCAAATGTACTTGATTGTTTTTTACTTGTGTATATATATATATATATATATATATATATATATATATATATATATATATATATATATATATAATGTGTGTGTATATTGATGTAACAGCTTAATGATCCAAAATTCTTTTTAGTATTTGTTTTTATTTTTAAAAAAAACAGTGATCGATACAGAAGTAGAGCTTAAAATTATAATTATTTTTAAAAATAAAATGATTCCATCGCTACACAGAAATTACTATGTTTCGAAACTGAAACTAAAATCCTAAAGTTTAACATTATACTTAAAATTTAGACCACAGTTTCATTCTCAAGCGATTTTTATTAATGACATTAATAAAACTATATATATATATATATATATATGCACACACACATTTTTATTAATATAATTATTTACTATTTTAATTTGATAAACAATTCATATATTTATTTTAAATAACAGGTTTTGATTTAACCTACCAGGGAGTTGACTCGAGCACTACGAGTGAAATTGTGTTGATGAAACTGTTCAGAAACATTTAATAGTTGTGCTGGCACGATGTCAAAAGTCATTGTGACTGAGGGTTTGTGTGTACTGGCCTCATTAAACTGCAGATCATGCCAGATTATGCATTCGCTCCGGGTGTGCTCATTATAGTTACAGTATAAGCCGCAGGTTGACTCTGTGGCTACTGAAACACGCATGTGCCTGAGCGGACGCCTGTAAACGTGTAACAAGCCATAATGTATATAATCAAACATTTATTTCATACGATTTCTAATGACTTATTATAATGGAAATTTCTTTAATCTTCTTGATTCGATTAATCACATTGCATTCACTTTTGTGATTCAACTCAAGAGGTATTGACCGGCGAAGTCAAAAAGTGATTATCTTTTATTTGTAAATCCGTTTATAACTGAAACTATGTCCATTTCGTTTTTGCTTGCTTTTTCTTTCTTTTTTTTTTTTTCTTTTTTCCTTTTTTTTTCTTTTCTGAAAACACGCTGCAGGCTAAAATACACTAAAAAACACAAAGATTTGTTGATAAATTTTAGATCTTTTTTTAAAGTTTAATGTCTTCTAAATTTATTTTAATTTTTTACTTTAATTACTGCTTAATTGAGAACACAAGAAACGAGACTATTTAATTGACATTTCCAACAAGCACCTGCACGTTTTATCTTCTTTGCTAAAATTTTAATGGTGGTGTTCTTAAACTAAGTTCAAGAGGTCAAATTGCGACCAAATCTCTTGTAATGCTTCTTTTGGACATCAATTTAGATTTCATTTTCTCCATTTAAAGAAATCTTAAGTTTTGCCTAAACCAGTAGTTCCCAAACTTTTTATTCTTTGTGCCTCATTTTCGGAATCAAAATTTGCTCGCGCCTCACCAAATTTTATGTGATAAAAAGTACATTTAAAAAAATTAAGGACAATAACCGCGAATTAGATGTCGGAACATTATCATTGATGACATTCTCCTCCAATTTGCGGACTCTAGTTACTGTATTCTTAATACTTGATATAATGTAAAAATCTCACAATGATAAAATCGGTCAATAATTATTTATAATTATTTATACTGGGATTCATGCATGTAATTACAAATAATCCATTTTAAATTTTGAAATTATATTTATTTTTGGCATACGAATTTATTTAAAACGTTTTTTTTTTCTAAGTCTTTGATTTTCTTTCATTTATTCCGCCTTACCAGCTATCCTCTTCCGAAGCCCTCTTTGGGAAGCACTGGCCTAGACTGATAGGACACAATAGTTAGGCACCCAGTGAAGACCAAACACAGTTTTGTGGATGTAATCCGCGAGATTATTCTAATACTCGCCCTGTGGAAAATGTCCTTCTAGATTATTTTTGCTCTTACTTTTTTTTCTGACAGACAATTTGATGGTTTTTTTTTTTTTTTTTTTTTTTCATCTTCTTTAAAAAGGTGGTGGCGCCGGTGGAAGTGTTTGGATCAGATGTGAAAAAATCCTGGGTCATGGAAAGATAACTGCTCGTGGTGGCCGAGGAGGATATAATGGAAAAGTATTTGGAGGTGGAGGTGGTGGAGGTCGGATCTCTATTCAAACCTTCGACATAGCCAGTTTTAATGCGACTATACTTGCACCCGGAGGTTCGTATAAATGTATATTTACTAATTATTTTTGCTAAGAATGTGTTTTTTTTTTTTTTTTTTCATTGTCTAGAGAATTTTTTTGAGCTGAAGAAATAACTTTCGTGACGCGTTAAGGAAATGTTTGCGGGGACATAGCTTCAGAATATAATTTTAACTCCTATTGTGTGGCTTTCCACGGCGAGTTTTAATGGAGTTTTTTTTTTGTTTTTTTTGTTGTTTTTTTTTATCTCTGGCGATCACCGAATTTTTCATATGTAAAAGAAAATATGAAAAAATATCTATCGCATTATTAGATTACTTTTCGAAAATAAAGATTCTTCAACTCCAAAGTCAGTATACATAATTTGTACCGAAATTAAGAATTCATGTTAGAATATTTTTTTAATATGACGCAAAAAGATTCGATTTTTAAAATTGTATTTTTTTCGTTTATAGAATATACGTTTATAGTTAAACTAATAAATATAATCATATATGCAAACCGTTCATTTTATGGAAGAAAATTGATTTTTTGTGAATTTTTAATATATATTAAGTCATGAAATATTATTTTATAATTTAATAAAACTTATATTATAATTAAAATCGAATCTTATTAAAGATTCCTTTTATTTTAAAATTTCGTTTATTTATAATTCATAATTTTTACATTATTTTAGAATTTTATTATATTTTATCAATTCAATTTTATAAATTCATTTTTTAACTCAAAACTATCATTTTTTTATATATTTGTTTTCTTTTCATTGTCTAGGAGAATTTTTTGAGCTGAAAAAATAACTTTCGTGACGAGTTAAGGAACACTTTGGGGGACATTAGCTTCAGAATATAATTTTAACTCCGATTGTGGGTTTTAACTCAAAACTATCATACCATTGAATCATTGGAAAATCTCGATATATTTCAAATTAAAAAAAATCTCCCCACCACAAATAATCCAAATCGATTCCTTTTTATGTATTTGTTTTTATCTTGACTGATTATCGAAAAATTCGATCCTGTAATAGCTACAAGTTTGTTTTTTTCTACCTCATTATGCTTAGATGAGTTCACCTATCGTCCGCACAAGATTTTTGAACAGGAGTAGAGGTTTGTCCCTTGTTTCCTGTAACGAATTGGGTTTCTGTTTACTTCTACAACCTACCTTAACTCTATACTTCTAACTTCTCTCCCTAAACTCTGAAATGTTATTTACTCATTTTTCTCTGTCGCAATAGTAGTAGATAGGCTCGCCTATTGCCCAGTTTACAGACCTCCTCGATTATTTTGAACAAGATCAGTTTTATTCCTTGTTTTCTACTAAGGATTTACTTTCCGTTTCATTCTAAAGTCTTTTCATTTTATTTCACTCACAATTGTGTCTTATTGGCATCATCGCCTTGGTGTGAAATGATTTTAAAATAATTATTTGAAACCTTTTCGTGATTAAGAAATACTCTCATTCAACAAAGCTTTCAGTGGTTTCCGTTTGATATCATCTCCCTTAGAATATTTAAGTTGAAATTACTCTTTACCATGAAATACATTGACCTTTATTTATCACTTTATTATCACTGGTCTGCCATTATGGGTGATCGAAGAAAGACAGGCGAACAGAAACACACTGTAATTAAGTTAAAATATCTAGTTGTCTCATTCCAATATTGTTTCAATTTATTGTTAAAAATTACTAAAAAATATTGGTTCCGACAGGAACAGAAACTACTTCATTTTCCAAGTGAAAGATTTCTAACAGTATTTTCATGCTGCAATATGCGGTTTTTGCTGTATTACTGTAAAAAAAAAAAAAAAGTACGGTTAATTTGCTGTTTAGCACCCGCGCTTAGTTTGCATTAAAAATTTCCAGAATACTTACATTTGTGTAATTGTACATGCTTCATTCGAACCTGGCTTGATATCTACCATTTTGTTGTTATCGAATGTAAAAGTTCGGATTCATTCGCGTCGCGACAGCCATTACTCGCGTTGTTTGCATACATTCGCTGCTGAAAAGCTATGAGTAATATTCACTTTTCTTGATTATTGCGCCCGCAGCGCACAACTGAACGTGTGTACGTAAATAGTTCTCTTGCACAGTAACTGTGGCAACTAAGATCAGTAAAAAAAAAAAAAAAAAAGGGAAAAATCCCGTTAACTACAATCTTTGCGCTTAGCTTTCCGCAGCGAATGTATGCAAACAATGCCAGTAATGGCTACTGCCAACGACGTGAATTAATCCAAATTTTTACTGTCAATAACTCCAAAGGGGTAGATTTTATCAAGCTAGATTCGAATGAAGCATGTACAATTACACATAAATGTAAGTATTCTGGAATTTTTTAATGCGAACTGAGCAGGGTTGCTAAACTGCAAATTAACCAAAAGCACATATAAATAGGTTAATTAATGCCGAAATCTGAATGTTTTGAAGTCAATTTTCCGGCTTCAACTAAATATAACTTGAACGTAATTGTATGCCGTTAACTACAGATGAAATGTTTTGTTAGTAATTTTTATATAACAAATATGTTACTGGTGTTTTTACAATAAAGCTTGTTATACTTTTATAGATCTTTGTTTTGGCGGTTCACTATTTGTCCATAGCTGGGACCCTAACAGGTTCTACCACCCAGGGTTAGCGTGGACCTGGGAACAACAGCAATTAAGAGATGGATCCACGCTCCTCAAAAGCTCCAATTTCCCGACCAGAGGCTTTGCTACCGGATGTAGTGTATCGTCATACCCAGGACACTAAGAAATAAAGAAAGCATACATAATTAGGATGAAAGAAAGGGAACATATTACTATCATTCGCTTCACGTCAGCTTCAGTGAAATACAAATCATTGTTAGTTTTTAACATTGTCATTTGTACCCACTTAATTTAAATAATGAACTGATATAATAATGAATAATTAGGTATTTTAGTGTAAGACTTTCTTGAAGTTTTTGAACTCAAATATTTAATGTTGCAGTAGGGGAATATTCATTTTTATTTTATAGTTGTGGAATTTATACATTCATTAACTTAAGAATTAGGAAAAGTGTGACATTTTCACTCATACTGCTTGTTTTTATTATTATCAAAATTAATCTTTTCCCTAAATTTTAGGATTTGGAAGATATGAACCAGGAGGAGCAGGTACGGTCTATCTTGAAGCAAAGAACATCACAAGCGGACAGTTCCTGCGAAAAAGTTTATTCATTAACAATGATGGCCAACCTTACCCGAAAGAAGGGAAGACTGTACAACCTTTGGAAAATCTATTTAATGGCGAGTACAATAATATTGGTCAAGCAGGTGGCATTACTTGGCTCTACCATAACGATACGACTTACAGTTTTGACGAACTGAGAGTAAGCGGAAATGCACACGTCGCCATATTAAGCAACACCACGTCATCTGATATTAACATTTACGTTGACACTGTGACAGGGGATAATACTGGTGTCTTACATGCTGGTAAAAGACAAACCTTCAAATTTCACAATATAAATGTCTATCTACCGTTGAATATCAGAACATACAGGTAAGTTAATTTGTCAATATATTTTAGTAGAAATATTGATATTTTTTATGCTTTATCAACCCTTCGCAGGTTATTTAGACCCAGATATTTTTAGATTGTAAGAATTTTGAGGTATTTTCTTATGGGTTGGGTATCTGCCAGCGAAGATAGATGTCACACCTCAGTCGGGACGGAAAAAATCAGCAGCACTGAAATCAAACCCTAAAGGAACCAAACAATGGATCACGACGGGTAGAGCACGAACAACGCTTCCACACAGGAACACCACACGTACGGGATGAACGCAGTCGAGACACCAGAAACGCAAACAAGGGAGAACGAACCAAGTTGCTTCAATTTGCTGATCGTACGATAACCGGTGTTTCAAGTTGTTATAGCCCTAAGCCACATTGTTTCGGGTATTTGGTAAAATAGTAATTGTGGTTTCAATCTCTGGGCCAGGCAGTGCAGACTTGAATTGAATGAAAACAAGTAATTGAGCAGTACACATGGCTCTCCACAATTTACTGTCCTTTGTAGCTCTTAATGAATTTTGTCTTTTTCTTATGTCTCCTAAACCCTGTTCCATCAACTATTTACTGAAGCTCGCTATGTAGGTTATGCGTTATTTCATCTGTCACTTTTGGTTGCAGTCTGTCTTGTGTATCACAAATTTTCCAAGCTCCCTTTCCTCATTATAAACCTTAGAAATTTCCAATGTCTCGTCATGAAAAGTATGTGTCATTTTTGTTTCGATTTTCTCTAAAACTTGGTCATTGATATGTTCAGTCAATGGTAATCTCAGCATCCTTCTGTAGAGACCACATTTCTGTTGCTTCAAGTCTCTTCTTCATCGGGATGAGATTGTACAGCATTCATTACCATCTCTATTGGAGGACTAATATTACATAAGTTCAGTACTCTTCTTACCCGGACTTGATAATTCGAGAATTACTTGGAATTTAAAAAAAAAAAAAAAACAATTTAGAATTTTATTTTTTTTTGCTAGTGACTTAATACCTTCAATCTCTGTTAAAAAAAATTACATTTGTCTATATGCACCCCCCACACCACCACAAATTGGCGAGACGAATCTCTATAGATTAGGAAATACGAAAAAGAAATTGAATATCAATTTTACATTCAAACTATGAATCTTTTTGGTTCTTCGATCGAAACTGAATACTATTTTCCTATCACTATTACCGTAATTCCCCATTTATAATAAGCCTTCATCCATAATATGGACATCTAAAAATGTGCTGAAAGTGTGGTAAAATGCTTCTACTCATGCATAATACGCACCGCTTGTTTGGTAATCAAACTCTATAAATTGTACCTCTCCAATTACATTACGACCAGCGTCTCCTACTCTTATTTTTAAGAAAATGTTTTTTTAAACATGGAATAATATTATTCTAATTTAGTTTTATCATAATTCTTATTTTATTTTAGGCATTTTTTTAAAGAATTTTTGTAGCTTTGCATAATACGCACCCCTGATTTGGCTTTTTTTTCTTGAAAAAATGCGTATTATACATAGGACAATTACGGTAACTTGGGAAACTCAAAGTAAGAAGTTACTTTGCATTAAAAAGATTGGTGATACTCAGTTAAAACAGGAAGTAACAAAAGGAATTTAACTGCAAACAATATAGGCAGTGAATAAAATAAAACAATATCTGGGAATGTTGGAAACATGTTCAGAAGAATTAAAGAAAGGTTATAGTGCAAGAACAGAATATTTCGGAAGATAGTCTTGATAATGACGTGATCAAATCCGTTATTATACGAACAACATCCTAATTTGAACAAGAGAAGGACTAATAAATCAAGCTTAAAGGGTGATTACATTTATGAGCATGCACAAAACCTTACAATCTGTGTATGATGTTAATAGATTGTATATTATAAAGTTAAGTATGAAAATTACCTGTTAGACTTATATATATATATATATATATATATATATATATATATATATATATATATATATATATATATATATATATGGCTTCAGCTATCATAGGGCTTCCAAACTAAATGAAACAGAATAATGGTATATTATATCAGTGGAGAATAACAGAAATGAGTTGAAAATAAATTTGCGATCAAAATAACTCCTAAAGAAGAAGCCATAAACGTTTCAAGATTTGAACAAATGTATTTGCAGAGGAGATAAAATAGACATGGTTAAGAATATATTTGAGTAGATAAACTGAAGTCATATCAATGGTGACACACGACAGTTCCAAAAAGGCAACAGACAAAAAAATTAACTAATGTCGCCTATAAAAAGAAGACATAAGAAAAAAAACTCAAGGATATATGAGATGGATATGAAAAACGGCGGAGGAGGGGAGATACGGATAGTAAAGTGATGGGAGGAAGACAATACGGATAGGAAAGAGAGTGGAGAGATCTAAAACGCAACCGTATATGATGTTGCATATGTGTTAACCCTTATCATCCTGACGACAGTGTTAAACTAACTTTTTTCTTTCATATATTCTGACCATTTTTCTTATAGTTTCTATTTTCTGGATTTCAAGTGAAATGTTCAAAATATTTCAACATTTTAGTGAAATATTAATTTTCCAAAATTATACTTTGTAGATTAGATATATGGGTCAGAAAAGGTGCCAGTTTGAACTGGCACAAGAGGATATGGTTGTGAAAATGCCATTACTTAACACAAAGACATGTTGACGCTTAATAAATGAGCCGCTGGCACCTTCTATACATTTGCAGTATCAGTATTGAGCTTCACAGACCGTCAATCAATTTTAAGGATCTGCGGTGTTTGTTCTACCTCCTCCTCACCATCTTCTATTTTTACTCAGCTATCCCATTGGTATTATCAGCTGCCTCATTGTTATTTCTCTGGAGACGGACCCGATTCTCTCAGATTTCAAATCTCCCTAAATACGTAATCGCTTTTTTGTGTCCTTTAATTTAGGACCCCCTGATCTTAAAAAAAAAAGCCCAAGAAAAAGAAATTATAACATACTAAAATGTAACAAAATTAATATTTATTGAAAGTAAATAATTCGTGGGAGGCTTCAAATCACAATAGGGAATTCAATAAATTTGCACGAATTTTTCCTCATCCTTCGAGAAACTACACAAAGATTTCACAGTCCAGCAGATATACCCGAATGTTGCACTGTTCGTTGGAAATGTGCACGATGTGTACACAGTTTGTCAGAAAAATAGTGACATGTTTATACCTGTTACTGTTCAATATTAATCTGAACATGATCTTTGAATTAATAATCCTCAAAGGGAAGAGTCTAGGAATTTGAGTGTCAAAGAAAAATTGGTAAAGAATTAATGTATTTTCTTCGAGGACATTTGACATAGCATTCTTGACCAATGTAACTTTTGCGATGTTTCTATGGCTTTAAAACAATGAAGTGTTGAACTGCCATGACATCTCTCTCCTGCAGTATAGCATTGAATGCTTGACAATTTACTTCCGTCTTGGGTATGCCGATAAACTACATCCGGCAACAAGGTCTCTGACCCGGGGTGGTAGCACCCTTTAGGATCTCAGCTATAGGTAAATAGTTAACCGCCAAAAACTGGGGTCAAAACACTATGAAAGTGTAAAAACAGGTTTTGATACTAGAAATATTTTGTAAAAGTAAAAATTATTACCAGCCATACATTTTTTTTTAAAAAATGGTAACAGCAATTAAAATTTTGTCGGCATTAAATGTCCGATTGAGTTTGATATGCCGTAAGACAAACCAAACCAAACTTAACAATTTCTTTAGACACGCAGAAGAGACTGGAAGATCGATGACAATATAGGCAGGTCTTGTAATCAAAGATCCTCTTACTTCAAATCAAGAGGAGACTAATGATATTTCGGAGACAAATTATCAAGAAGGACGGCTTATAAAATGTAATACTCACAAGGAGTATTGCGGGAAGGTGGATGAAAGGAAATGACAAGAAACTTGTCTAAGGAATTGTATGAGTGACTGGTAGCGCAGGAACATGGAAATATGATAGTGTTAAATGTTGCCACATCCGTGTCCTGGGTAAGACGATAAACTGCATCCAATAGCGAGACCTCTGATCAGGAGGTTTTGAGGAGCGTGGAACCATCTCTTAATTTCTGGTGTTCCCAGATCCACCCTGACCCAGGGTGGTAGCATTTGTTTGGGTCCCAACTATGGGCAAATAGTTAACTCCCAAACTGAGGTCAAAACACTATGAAAGTGTAAAAATAGCAGCAATAAATTTTTGGAAAAAATTATTAGCAGCAATTCATTTTTTTTAAAATATATTACCAGCAATAAAAATCTTGTCGGCATTAAATGACCCATTGAGGTTGATATGCCGTAAACCAAACCAAACAAAAATATATTGAAATAGTTGCACAATATATTTCGTTTTTCGGCACTGTTGTGCCTTTTCAAGTGATTGCAAGTGACTTATGATTTTTAAGAAAATTTCAAAAACAAATTTTTTTTCGAAATCTTTTTTTTTTTTTGCTTTAATCACCAATTACTTACCATCGCCCGAAAAGGCACGACAAAGTGTCGAAACACTAAAGCTATTATGTAGTGATTTCAACAAGTTTTTGTTCTAACATGTACGATATAATATATAATTTCTCGGACGGAATGACGTTATAAGAAAAATTTCACAAAAACAAAATCTACATTAATGGGGTAAAACGTGAGAATTTTTATATTGTCTTATATATATATTTTATATATATAT